GCAGGAAGGCTGACGTTTCGGGTCTGGACGTCAGCTTTCCTGCTCCTCTGATGCTGCTTGGCCTGCTGTGTTCATCCAGCTCCACACCTTGTTATCTCTGGTTCACTGCAGATACTGAAGCAGCAGGATGGAGGGAGTAGTGTAGATACTGAGAGGGTGCTTCCCCTGGGAGGGCAATCTGGAATAAAGAGGGCAGAGTGAGGGGAGTCTCCAATTTAAAACGCAGTGGAGGTTTTTCATCTGTCAAGGGTTATAGACCTGAGGAAATTCCTTCCCAGAAACCTTGTATGTATTCAGATTATTGAGAGGGTGAGAGGGTTGGGGGACCAGAAGGAAAGGAGAGATTAGGCCACGTTCGGATCAACTATGCCTTATTGAATGGCAGAGCAGGCTTGATAGCCCCAATAGCCCATTCCTGCTTTTCTTTAATGCAGACTGTGGTGGAGGCAGATTAATTTGTGGCAATAAAATGGATACTGAAAGCATCCTTTTTTTGAATTATTTGAGAAAGTGACAAGGTTATGGGATTGGGTTGTGGCACTTCTGAATTGTTCCTTCAGAGAGCCAGCACAGTCATAGAGCTAAATAAAAAACGAAAGAACTGCAGATGCTGTAAATCAGGAACAAAAACAAAGTTGCTGCAAAAGCTCAGATAACAAGGTGTAGAGCTGGATGAGCACAGTGGGCCGAGCAGGAAAGCTGATGTTTCGGGCCTAGACTCTTCAGAAATCTCTGCTGGAAAAGCTCAGCAGGTCTGGCAGCATCTGTGAAGGAAACCACAGAGTTAACATTTCAGGTCTAGTGACCCTTCCTCAGAACTGATAGTGGCTGGGAAAACATCAGTTTATATTGCAGAGAATAGGTAGGTGGGTGTGGTAGGGAGTAAATGATAGGATAGAGCCTGAAGAGAGAGAAAGACAGTTGGACAGACAAAGGATTTGCTAACGATCAGGCTGGGAGGGTGAATAGTTGTTAATGGGGACTGTTAGTGACTGACAACAGGGGGTGTGTAATAGCAGGCTATGTGGTAACAAGGCCTGGTGTGTGGGGTGGGGGGCTGGGACAGGGGAGAGTTTAGGCCCTAAAATTATTGAACTCAATATTGAGTCCGGAGGGCTGCAGGGTCCCCAAGCAGAAAATGAGGTGTTGTTCCTCCAGCTTGCGTTGGACTTCACTGGAACACTGTAGCAAGCCAGAGACAGAGATGTTGGCCAGGGAGCAGGGTGGTGTGTTAGAGTGGCAGGCAATAGGTAGTTCAGGATCTTTTTTGCGAGCAGAACATAGATGTTCTGCGAAGCGGTCGCCAAATCTACGCTTCGTTTCCCCAGTGTAGAGGAGACCACACTGTGAGCGGCGAATGCAGTAGGCTCGATTCCGGAAAGCGCAAGTGAAGTGTTGCTTCACCTGGAAGGTATGTTTGGGCCCTTGGATACTGAGATGGGAGGAGGTAAATGGGCAGGTGTTGTACCTTCGTTGGTTACAGGGGAGGGTGCCGTGGGGCTGTGGGGAGTGTTGGGGTGAAGGAAGTGTGGACCAGGGTGACCTGGAGGGAATGGTCCCTGCGGAAGGCGGACAAGGGAGGGGAGGGGAATATGTGTCTGGTGGTGACATCTCGCTGGAGGTGGCGTCTGATGATCTTCTGGTTGTGGATGCTGGTGGAATGGTTGGTGAGGATAAGGGGAACCCTATCGCTGTTGTGGGAGGGAAGAGAAGGGGTGAGGGCGGAAGTGTGGGAGATGGGTCGGACCTGGTTGAGGGCCCTGTTGACAACGGAGCTGGGGAATCCTTGGTTGAGGAAGAAGGTGGACATTTTGGAGGCTCCCTTTTCGAAGTTGGCCTCATCTGAACGTATGCAACGGAGACGGAGGAACTGAGAGAATGGGATGGAGTCTTTACAGGAAGTGGGTTGTGAGGATGTATCGTCAAGGTAGCTGTGGGAGTCAGTGGGTTTGTAGTGGATGTTAGTGGTCAGTCTATCCCCAGAAATTGAAACAAAAATGTCGAGAAAGGGAAGGGAGGAGTCAGAGATAAACCAGATGAAAGTGAGGGCAGGGTGGAAATTGGAGGCGAAATTGATGAAGTTTTCCAATTCTCGACAAGAGAGGGAAGCAGCACCGATGATATCATCAATGTATCGGAGAAAGAGTTGTGGCTGGGGGCCGGAATAGGACTGGAACAAAGAATGTTCCACGTACCCCATGAAGAGACAGGCATAACTAGGGCCCATGCAGGTACCCATAGCAACCCCTCTTACCTGAAGAAAATGAGAAGAGACGTTGTTGAGTGTGACGACAAGCTCAGCCAAGTGGAGGAGGGTGGTGGTGGGTGAGGATGGTTCAGGTCTTTGCTCCAGGAAGAAGCAGAGAGCTCTAAGACCCTCCTGGTGGGGAATGGACGTGTAAAGGGATTGCACGTGCATGGTAAAGAGTAGGTGGCTGGAACCGGTAAACTGGAAGTTTTGAAACCGGCGTAAGGCGTCAGATTAATCATTGATGTACGTGGGTAGGGATTGGGCCTGGGGGAGAAGACTGAGTCAAGGTAGGAAGAGATGAGTTCTGTGAGGCAGGAGCAGGCTGAAACAATGGGTCTGCCCAGACAGTCCTGTTTCTGGATTTTTGGCAGGAGGTAGAAATGAGCTGTGTGAGGTTGAGGGACTGTTAGCTTGGAAGCGGAGGCGGGGAGATCACTGGATGAAATGAGATCAGTTACCCTCCCAGCCTGATCGTTAGCAACTCCTTTGTCTGTCCAACTGTCTTTCTCTCTCTTTGGGCTCTATCCTATCGTTTACTCCCTACCCCACCCACCTCCCTATTTTCTGCATATAGCCTGACGTTTTCCCAGCCACCATCAGTTCTGAGGAAGGGTCACCAGACCCGAAACATTAACTCTGTGGTTTCCTTCACAGATGATGCCAGACCTGCTGAGCTTTTCCAGCAACTTTGTTTTTGTTACAGTCATAGAGCTGTACAGCATGGAAACAGACTCTTTGGTCCAACTCATCCATGCTGATCATACATCCTAAATTAATCTAGTCCCATTGCTGGCATTTGGCGCATATCCCTCTAAACCCTTCCTATTCATATACTCATCTAGATGCCTTTTAAATGTTGTAATTGTATCAGACTCTTCCACTTCCTGTGGTAGCTCATGCACCGCCCTCTGTGTGGAAAAAGTTGCCCCTTAGGTCCCTTTTAAATCTTTTCCCCTCTCTCATCTTAAACCTATTCCCTCTAGTTTTGGACTCCCTGGGGAAAAGACCTTGGCTATTCACCCTCCTTGCCCCTCATGATTTTATAAACATCTGTAAGGTCACCCCTCAGCTTCTAATGCTCCAGGGAAAATAGCCTCTGCCTATACAGCCTCTCCCTCTCGTTCAAGCCCTCCAAACCTGGCCACATCCTTGTAAATCTTTTCTGAACCCTTTCAAGTTTCACAAAATTGTTCTTATAGCAGGGAGACCAGAATTAAATGCAGTATTCCAAAAGTGGCCTAACAAATGTCCTGTACAGTCACAACATGACCTCCCAATTCCTATACTCGAACTGAACAAAAGAGGCAAGCATACCAAATGCCTTCTTCACTATCCTGTCTACCTGCAACTCCAAGATCTTTGCTCAGTAACACTCCTCAGGATCGTACCATTAAGTGTCTAAGTCCTGCCCTGATTTTTCTTTCCAAAATGCAGCACCTCATTTATTTAAATTAAACTCCATCTGCAATTCCTTGGCCCATTGGCCCACCTGATCAAGGTAACCTTCTTCACTGTCCACTACGCCACCAATTTTAGAATGATGGACTGAACTGTCTCCTGCTATGCTATAACCTTTCTATGATACACTAAAAGTCTAGACTACCCTCAGGCCAGCCTGATAAATGCCCAGTAATGTTTGTGCTGAGCAATGATCATCCTCAAGAAGAGAAAATCTAATCATCTCCCCTTGACAATTACCATTGCTGAATCCCCCACAATCAGTATGTTAGTACTATTGACTGGTCCAGTTACATTTCTGGTCATGTGAATACTATAACTACAAGAGCAGGTCAGAATCTGGGAATTCAAATATCTACCTGTACACCATCTGTGAGGCACAAAACGGTTTTTTTTTTGTTCTTGGGTACTTCTTGTTAAGCCAGCATTTATTGCTCATTCCTAATAGCCCTGGGGAAGGTGAAGTTCAGCTGCCTTCTTGAACCACTATGGGCTCTGGGATGTAGGGATATCCACAGTGCTACAGGTAGTCCTTGATTAACATTATTAAAAGACACTTGGGTAAGTACATGAATAGGAAAGGTTTGGAGGGAAATGGGGCAGGAGCAGGCAGATGGGACTAGTTTATTTTGAAATCATGTATGGTATGGACTAGTTGGACTGAAGAGTCTGTTTCCATGCTGTATGTCTGTAAGATCAATGCCGTCCAAGACAAAGCAGCCTACTAGATTGGCACCATGTCCACCACCTTAAACATTCATCCCCTCTACCACAGTGTACACTTCCTTCCACAAGATCCATATCAGCACCTTTCAACAGCTCCTTCCAAACCTGTAACTTTATCATCCAGCAGAACAAGGACATATGGGAATATGACTACTTTCAAATATTCTTCCAAATTACATCCTAACTTGGAGCTATATTGTTGTTCATCCATTAATACATAAGAATAGCTCAGATTCCGTCCACAATAGCATTGTGGATGTGCCTTCACCACGCTGACTGCAGCATATCGAGAAGGCAACTCGTCACCAAATTCTTAAAGACAATTAGGGATATGCATAAATACTGACCCAGCCAAAAAGAATACAAGAAATAGGAGCAGGTGTAGGCCATTTGCCTCCAAACCTGCTCCATCATTCAGTAAGATCATGGTTGAAATGATTGTGGCGTTAATTCTGTTCTTTGTTCAGAGAGTAATAGGGAAAGCAAATATAATGTTGGCCTTTGATTCAAAGAGAATGGAATATAAAAAATAAGGAGATGAAAAGGAATTTTTGCCTGGAGCATAGTGAATCTGATTTTTTTTTAATCCAGAGAATTCCTACACTGTGGGAACAGGCCTTTTGGCCCAATGTGTCCACACCAACCCTCCCGCCCAGACCCCCCCCCTTACCTTTACCCTGCATTTCCCATGGCTAACCTACAGATCCTGAACACTATGGATAACTTAGTATGGCCAATCCACCTAACTTGCACATCTTTGGACTACGGGAGGAAACCAGTGCACCTAACGAAAACCCACACAGATACAGAGGGAGCGTGCAAACTTTGCCCGCGGATGGAATCGACCCCAGGTCCCTGGCGCAGTGTGGTAGCAGCACTAACCACTGAGCCACCGGGGCTTAAGGCTGTAGAGGCTGTGCCATTAATTACATTCAGGCTGAGAATAGACAGATTTTTAATCAGTAAAGGAATCAAGAATTGTGAGGATAAGGTAAGAAAATAGCATTGAGAATTCTTGGATCAGCAATGATCTCATTGAATGATAGAGCAGACTCGATGAGTTGAATGGCCTGCCTCTGCTCCTATGTCCTGTGGTAGGAAGGAATCAATATAAGGAAATTAGCAAAAGAACAAAAGGAGCCATGAGAATGTTTTTACACTGAAGTTTTTATGATCTAGAATGCACTGAATGCAATAATGATGTAAGTAGATCCAATGGTAATCTTTAATAGGGATGTGATAAATAGTTGAAGAGGAGAAAACATGCAGGGCAGAAGGATGTGCAGGATAGTTCTTTGAAGGAGCTGCCACAGGCCCAATGGACTGACTGGCTTCCCTCTACGCTTGAAATTTCTGTATTTGTGACACCATGTAACTGATGGTATTCTGAGTTTGTTTATCATTTATTTTTGAAGGTGAAAGTATGACATAATTAAAAAATATTTTCCATATATAATTATCAGTTTTAATTTCCTATCAATAATAAATGATATGCAGTCAAAGCAGTAGGAGCAACTATGTTCTAATGAAGATCATGAGTACTGTGTGAAGAATAAACCTTTTACAGTACACTGTTGTCTGATTTAGAAACTTGGTATTACTATTAGCAAGCTAATGTGTAGTGTATTATGTTCGCATTCCCTTTTACAATTGTAATTATTGTTTCTGATTTATTCTAACTTATTTTTGTAATGATTATCTCCGTTCCCTGCACTCCTCACTGATTTAGAGGTGAGAATGATCTGCTCAGATTTTACAGTGCGGTCTCCTGTAAAGGAGGTAGAACTGGTGTCACCTCTGGACGCTAGTTGTTTGAGCTATAAATAGGCTCTAAGTAGGCTGGTTGGCATGAAAACTTAGTTAATTCTTCTGTTGACTTGTAGTGAAATGGTGCAGGATGAAAGATGAAGAAAGAAGAACATTGGGGACTCTCTCACTAGACTGCAGGCTGACACCTATGTCGTGGAATTACCAGATGACAGGAATTCTGCAGATCTATCAGAACATCTCTTTCAGAAGACTGTTTCACTTCCCTCAAGTGTTTGCAGCAGAAGATCTCGGAGGGCAGGATGGGAAGCTTCCTGCGTGTATCGGCAGTCCCCAGGCCCCTGAAACAGGGTGGGACAGAATCCAGGAGCTATTTGTTCGCAAGTATGCATTCACCCAGTTTTTTGTGGACTAAGCTCAATAAAAGTCAAATTAGGAAGATGTGACAAGGAGGCAATAATTGTGGAACAAACTAATGCATTGTTTTGTGAATGGTACAAGAAAGAACTGTTTAGAAAAGAAAATAACAGGCAGTCTCAAACTTTTCTGAGCTTTATGCAAAATTAAGCCTTATCTACCATTCTCTCATCCAGTGTTCTTGAGGTTTGCTGCCATTGTGTATTGTCCTTCATCATCCTGCTTATTCTGTTCATTGTTCTAGTCAGGTTGGATTTTTTTTGTGCCTTGTCTTGTGCAGTTTTCATTTATATACACTGCCTTTTCATCTTCACTCTTTCATTTCACCTAGAATGACTGACTTGTCTTCACTTGACTTGTGTCCAAAACATCATAGTTTTTCTTGTTTTTGGCGTATTGGCTCTGGATTCCAGCTTTAGTCAACACACTCAGGAAGGTTTTAAGGTCTGTAAAGGTACAAAATGGATCTAGGGGTGAGGGAATTTAGTTAACCCCAAACTGGGGTTATTCTCCTTCAAGTAAAGGTGATTGAGGGAGATTTGGTAAAGGTATGTAAGATTGTGACAGGTTTGAATAAGGAGGACAAGTTAAGTGTTCAAATTGGCTGGTTGTATAAAAGTAAAATTGTTCTAGTCCTACCAGAGCATACGGCTGCTCTGTTATTGGAGAGAGAGAGAGATGACAGGTGGTAGTTTAACTGAGGGTCATTATGCCTCAGGCGAGGGAAGAGGTTGAGAGGAGAGTCTTTCATAGTAACCTCAGCTGGTGTGGAAATTGAACCCATCCTGTTATAAAAGACTAAGTTCAATTAGTTTTTTGGCAAAAGATGAGGGGAGAATGAACTTTTCTACATACCAGACTACCTGAACTCACTGCTCACGAAGGTGGTAAATTGGAGACAATCACTGGAAATTGGATTGGCATGAAGGAAATAAACTGGAAGGGGATCAAGCTGGCAAGTGAGGCTGTGAATTGCTCTACAGGGAGCAAGCATGGATTTGATAGGCCAAGTGACTTCTTTTTTACTATAAATTACTCTACTGGTATCCTTGCAGTGAAATATGCAGTGCTGAAGCACGTCGTTCAGTCCACACCAGACGGGCCACAGGAGTAGGGATTGGGAAAGTATCACATTGGTGTTTGAAGAATCTTTACTGAAGTACATTGTCTAAATAGGGTAGAAGGAAATTTATTCCACATCCAATGACCTGGTGCTTGATGTGGAAGTTGGCGGCTTAAAATATAGAAATACAGGCCATACGAACATAGATTTACAGTCTGAGTGGAAGTCATTCAGCTTATCATGTCTGTGATATCTGCAAAAGAGCTATGCAGTCTTATCCAACCTTTCAACTTCAGGTCTGCCAGTTAGAGTACTTAAATTGCATGTCCTTTTTGTTTTTAAAGTGATGAGGGTATCACCTTTTAAGGCATTGAGTTCTAGTTCCCAGCACCTTCTGAGTGGAAAACGTATCTCTTTAACTGCCCTCTAATTCTTTGACCAATTACATTAAATCCCTCATACTTTAAATCCTTTAAATCTACAACCTCGTATTTTAAATCCCATAATTTCATGGTGTATGGAACTTGAGTATTGCTGGGGTAAAAAAATTAAATTGAAGCATTTTATCTTGCACCCTTCAGGACATTGAAGATAATACCAATATAAGGGGGGAACAACAGTTTATATTGTTTGAGAAGAGTGTGATGATGATTGGCAAGTGGTCTCTGATTGATAGAGGCACTGCTGTAGAGAATGCATTAGTAGGATGATGACTGACAATTAACTGCCAAGGTTTGTTTATATCTCCTTATAGCCTCCGTTGTTCAAAAGAAAACAAATCCAATCCATGTCATCTTTCCTCACAACCAATATTCTTCATTCTCGTAAATATCTTCTGTATTGTCTAGTGTGATCACAAACTTCTTGGAATGCAATAGTCAGAACTGTACACAGTACTTGAGCTGCAGACTAACTACTGTTTTATAAGTTGATACAGTTTTATGTGGCTGCTATACTCCACAGAAAGCATGACTGACTGAGAAATTTTCCCACTCTAAGGCCTGTTATGGGCATGTTGGAAACATTTAGATTGATGAATGCTCCTTCCTTGGTCAACAAGTCCTAGAGTGGGACTTGAACCTAATGTTTCTGGCTCAGAACAAGGCACTATCCACTGAGCCACGAGCCCTCCATTCACCTGAATTTTGTCTTTTATTGTGTATTCCTTTGCTTTGTCTGTCTTCACCAAATACTGTGTTCAACTGACCCATGATAGCAACCTTCAGCAAGCACAAAATTCAGAACAAATAGTTTCTTTTTGAAGTAGTAAAGTATTTGACATAGCAAGGTTAGGTATTTTAAAATGACTATATGTAATTAAAATGACACTCTGTAATTGAATATGCATGCTGTTTACACAGTGAGTTGAAAACTTATCCAGAGGAAATAACCAACATCTGGAAGAGTGTCATCGTAGCTGCGTGTTTTGGGATGTTGTATGGTGGAATTCCTGCTGCAAGGCATGCTAAAATCCGTTACATTGAGCAGAGTCAAGCTGAGGTATACAAAAATCGCTTGGAAGCTGTGGTGAGTTTGAAACACTCAAGTTATGCAAGAAATCAGGAAATGACTGTCTTTGAGAAAGAATTATCGTGCTAAGGAGGGGAGGCACACTAATAGCAACAAAGTAGCCTCAGTGAGACTGAAAGCCTCATCTTCAGCTGTGATATTAGGTGAAGATCAAGCATGAAGTGAAATAAAGTAGGTGGATCATCAAACAAGGGCAACAAGCTAGCATTCCCAGCAGATTTGGAGTTATTGCACAGGTTTGGGAAGAAAGTGCACCCTTGCTCCTCTCAATTGAGAAGCAATGAGTGAGAAAGATACCTTCCAGAGGCCCATCACATCTGTGGCAGTTCTTTGTGAAAGCTGTGTGCTTACTCCCTTTTCATAAATACTTATTTATTTCACTTTTAGGCATTATGGATTCAATTTTCAATGCTGAAATGGGACTAAGAAACGTCTGCATTTAAAGTAGACTAAATCTCCTCCCCCTCTGTGGGCTACACTGTATCGTGCTCCATGGGCCACCTAGTCTAAAAAACATTTTTTAAGCAACCTGTTCAGGGATTCTGTGACACACCTTTGGAGCAGGTAGGACTTGAACCCAGGCCTCCTGACTCAGAGGCAGGGACACTACCATTACACAGCAATAGCCAGCCATCTAGTCTAAGTTCACCATTCTCGCAACTTACTCTTTAATTCCCTTTCTCACTATTCCCAACAACCCTCACCAATGATGTAGCCACAGAGCTGAGTGGCTTGACCCCCCCACTGTGGCTCATACTTGAGTTTCAAATTCATATGTAGAATTATAACTCCAAACCCATTAGCCTTTATAGACGAAACATCACCTCCAGAGACCCCCCGACCTATCCTGACAAGCATGCAAGCAGATGGAACAATCTGCATATTTCATAGCAGGCAAGAACAAGCCTTCTTGGGGCCATTTAGGTATGGGCATTGATATTGGCCTAGCTAGTGATGGCTGTATCCAGTAAATTAATTTTAATAGAAATGAAAAATGAATGTACTCCTTTTGCTAACTTATAGTGGAAAAAACATCAGATGATCCACATTCTAAGTTGGGATGAAAAGATAGATATTCTACGTTTGAGATCTATTTATGTGACCCCCCTACTCTAAACCTGACCATTTACGGTACATTTCTTTTCTTCGACTGACTAGTTAACCAACCTGCTATTGGTTACATATTCCTCCACACAGTTTGCCAGATGCCATTTTTTTTAGTATTCCCAATAATTCTTGCTAACACTCCTTTTGTTTCTACACCCAAACCAATCACAAAACATACACACACACACTTGCACCTTCCCAATCCAAAGAAAAATTCATTTTCAGTCTTTCCTACAAGCCCGCTCTCCACCTACAGTTGCATTCTGTTTATTTACATTTATACAGTTACTTCTGGTAGATTCCAAATCTGGCACAGAGATCTGTTTAGGAAAATCATGGAGACATTTATAGATATAATACATTACACCACTACAAGTTACTATTTCAAGCTTGTTCGGATCATGAGAATATCACAAGTTCAACACTGCTAACCTACAGAGCAATAATGTACTGGATAATCTTGGTCTGAGTAGTTCATGTAGTGCATGGTCTGTGAGACTGTATTGGCTGAATGCCTTCATTTTTGCCACTTGTGTTCTTCCAAGTGCTGGGCCTTGGCAGAACTGACTCTGATTGCTTTTCAATGATCCATCCATAGTAGAGTAAGGAGTCCAGTATTCTGTATGAGTGTAATGGGAATATGGCTGCTTTGTAACATTACACGGAGTAACAGGATGCAAAGGTTTTCCTTCACTTAAGATCTACTTGAAAAAGGATAACTGTTGGTTACGCTTCCCATCATTTTAGTCCTGTCTGTAGCGTAGGTGCCAATATGACCCTGGGTTTTAGAAAGACAATACCATACGGGAAAAGTAAATACTGTATTTCCAAGTGATCTCATTGGGTGTGTAGGAAAATTAATATTAATACAGTTTCTCCACTCTCACCTGAAGTATAATTTTCGTCTATGGATGCTGACCAGTTTGAGTAACCTATGCAGGAGCAAATTACTGCAGATGCTGGAATCTGTACTGAAAACAAATGCTGGAGATTACAGTGGGTCAGGCAGCATCCACGGAGAGATAGCAAGCTAATGTTTCGAGTCTAGATGATGCTGATGGATGCTACCTGACCTAATCTCCAGTAGTTTTTGTTTTGAGTAATCTATGTGACTAAGCACCTCTGATTCAGTTCTGATGTGTCATTGCTGTCTTCTTTCTCTATTAGAGGTCAGCACAAAATGCCGCTGTCCGGGGCTTTGTTCGTTACGGGTGGCGATGGAGCTGGAGAGTTGCTGTGTTTGTAGCAATATTCAAGTAAGTGAAATATTAAGCCGTTTTTTAGTTTTTTAAAGGTGGTTGTAGGTAGCAGGTAAAGAATAGGCAGCCTTTTTGTAACGTATGGCTTAGAACTGTTTATTGTATTTCTTATTTACAAACATAACATACCTAATTGGAAGGAATTATAGAGTCGTAGAGATTTACAGCATGGAGAAAGACCCCTCAGTCCAAGTGTATGCTGACTAGATATCCTAAATTAATCTAGTCCCATTTGCCAGTATTTGACCCATATCCCTCTAAATCCTTCCTACTCATATACCCATCCAGGTGCCTTTTAAATATTATAATTGTACCAACCTCCACCACTTCCTCTGGCAGCTCATTCCATTCATGCCCCACTTTCTGCATGAAAAAGTTGCCCCTTAGGTCCCTTTTACATCTTTCCCATCACACTTAAAACCTACACTCTCTAGTTTGGACTCCCCCAACCCAGGGAAAAGACCTTGTCTATTTAGCCTATACGTGCCCCTTATGATTTTATAAACCTCTATAAGGTCACCCTTCAAGCCTCCAATGCTCCAGAAAAAATAGCCCTAGTCTATTCATCCTCTCCCTACAGCTCAAACCCTCCAACTATGGCAACATCCTTGTAAATCTTTTCTGAACCCTTTCAAGTTTCACAACATCCTTCCTATGGCAGGGAGACCAGAATTGTATGCAGTAGTCCAATTGTGGCCTAACCAATGTCCTGTACAGCCGCAACATGACCTCCCAATGTCTATACTCAATGCACTGACCAATAAAGGCAAGCATGCCAAATGCCGCCTTCACTATCCTTACTACCTGCGACTCCACTTTCAAGGAACTATGAATGTGTGCTCCAAGGTCTCTTTGTTCAGCAACACTCCTCAGGACCTTACCATTAAGTGTATAAGTCCTGCCTTAATTTGCCTTTCCAAAATGCAGCACCTCACATTTATCTGAGTCAAGTTCCATCTGCCACTCCTCAGCCCATGGGTCCATCTGGTCAAGAAACCGTTGTACTTTTATGCAACATTTTTAACAACCTAAGAATATCCCAAAATGCATTACAACCAGTGAATAACTCTAGAAGTGGAGTCACTGCAGCAATGTAGGAATCGCAGCAGCCAATTTTCAGGCAGCAAGCTCCTGTAAATAGCAATGAGATTTAAGACTAAATAGTCTGTCTTGTCTTGGTATTGCTGGTTGAATGCTAAATATTGTCCAGGACAAGATATTCATCTTCCAGTAGTACCATTTTACACCTGAATGAAGGACTTGGTGCAATATCATTCAATAAACTGGGCAGCACAGTGGCTCAGTGGTTGGCACTGCTGCTTCCGCCCTCAGGTAACTGTCTGTATAGAGTTTGCACTTTCTCCCCATGTCTGCATGGGTTTCTGCCGGTGCTCAGGTTTTCTCCCACAGTCCAAAGATGTGCAGGCTGGGTGGACTGGCTGTGCTAAATTGCCTGTAGTGTCCAGGGATGTGCAGATCAGGTGTGTTAGACGTGGGAAATGGAGGGTTACGGGGAAAGGGTTGGGGCATGGATCTGGGTGGGACGCTTTTCGGAGGGTCGGTGTGGGATTCTATGAAACTGCACCTTTGGCAGAGCAGCACACTTTAAGTACTGCAATAAAGTATCAGCTTAGGTTAACTGCTCAAGTCTCTAGAATGTAATCTGAATCTATGAGCTTAACTCAAAAGAGTGCTACTGCTCCAAGGCTGACTATTACTATATATGTACTCTGTACAGAAAAGAGGGATTATAAATCCTTTCTTTGGCTAAAATATTCAACATGAGAAAGTGTTTTAGAGATGATGGCACTTGCTGTAAAGTGTAATTACTCTGCATTAACTCACCACCCTGTCTGTCTATGGTGTTTTCTTTCTTTGCTCTGGGGGTGTGGAGTCATTGATCATAATGTGAAATAGATCTTTAAATTGGTCCATGGGACATTCAAGTCAAAACAACAGCTGACTGCAGAATCTGCAATAGCACCTAGTGGTTTGTTCCTTTAATTGGATGACACTAGGCCAATCCAAAGTGCTAATTCTTAACGCATTAATAGGCTATTCCTGTAACCTCTGTAATATGAGTGGTGGTGCAGTGTGGGGAGAAGAGCAATCAGAGAGCTAAACTGTTGATCTACACACAACTGAAAATAAATTGGGAAGTCCATATGTCCTGTGGGGTGGTAACTAGTTTTGCATGTGTTTTCTAAGATGTTGTTTTGAGAATCCTGGCATCACTTCTCAAGAAAATAACTAGATAAATGAGTAATTTCCATTAACTCAGATTATCTCATAAATAGTTCATTGGGCAGTTTACCATTAAACTTTGGGTTGCTCTTTACTATTTTCAAAGGAAACAAATTCCCTTGGGCATTCAGAGGTAGCCAAAATGCAGATTTGAGAGATTACAATCAGAATAAGGAAAAGAATTGAGGGACATCATAGAATTTTTTAAAAAAGTAGTGACTTGGTCATAGATAACTGTGCTAACTGAAATGTTCCTGAGTGACTGTATCTGTGCTTTTGTGTGGTGTGGTGGTAATATTATTGGACTAGTAATTCAGAGGCTCAGGCTTATCTTCTGGGGATAGATGTTCAGATTCCAACATGACAACTGGTGGAATTTCAATTCAGTTAATTAAATCTGGAATATAAAGCTTTTCTAATGTTGAAACTACCATTGATTGTTGTAAAAATCCAGCTGATTTACTATTTCCAAAAAGGTGAGGAAATCTGCCATCCTTACTTGGTTTGGCCTACATTTGACTCCACACCCACACTAATGTAGTTGACTCTTGATTATGCTCTAAAATGGCCAGCAAGCCACAGTTCAAGGGTAGTTAGGGGTGGAGAAGAAGTGACGTTCACATCCCATGGAAGAGTAAATTATAGTACATCATTATTATGGTATTTACTTGCAAAGTGTGTTTTCTTGATAGAGTATATAGATGTAATTGCACAGGCTCAATTTATTGATTAATTTACTGTTGATTTTCCAAACAGCACAGTTAGCACAGGTCTGTCTGTGTATCGTGATCAAAATCTTCTGAGGCACTACTCTGCAGCTGGAGGTAGGACCCTGCTTGGAGGTTGCTTTGCTTAAACCTGGAGTGAATATATTTTTTCTTTCTAATAGGGCAGAAGTGGGTCATTCAGTCCAAATGGTCCATTCTAACAATTATAGTTCATATAACCATCCCATTTCTCCTCTTCCCCCCCTCCCCATCAACATAACCTTCTATCCTTCCTCCCTCGTGTACTGATTGAGTTTTCTCTTAAATGCCTTAGTTATTCCACGTGGTCGTGAATTCCACATTTTAAGCACAGCCCGGGTATACATTTTTTCCCTGATTTTTGTTTTACATTGGATCTATTGGAGATTTTCTTGTATTCATAGCCTCATAGTTTTGTTACCCAAAGGTCTTCTCTCTGTGCTTATTTTCCACTTTGTTCTTCATCTGGCTTTCGCCCATGGATTCTGCCCAGCTGGAGATCCTTCACATCTGAGGCTAAACAAAGAGTTACAATTGAGTATTCAACCATGGGAACATCACAGTTCAAACCTTATCATTTCCGTGTCTTCCTTGACACATGTCCTTTCATAGTTGCCTACAAATTTTCATAAAACAATCAGGTACAGGAAACTGGGGAAATTGTATTTGTTTTAAATCATCTCTTCCTATCACCGTTGAAACCAATTGTTCTGTTCCATAAAACCAGGCATTGAATTGCAGAACTGGAGCCTAATTGCTACACACAGTTTTAAGCATTTATTTATAGAGATATACAATATCAACATGCACTTCCTAGCTCAACCAGTGAAGTTCCAGCCTGTTCCTAACTATAGAAATACTGATAAATCCCCAGTTAATTCCCTTCATTGCATAAAATTAAACACACATTTACTATAGAATTAACACCTCACTCGACACAGCTTGTAATTTGAACCTAGAACAACCTTGTTTGTGTGGCATAGCAGTACACTGTCATTCCAGATCAAGTCACCGAGGAGTTGACTCATAATACTCTGTTTGATACTGAAACTTGGTAAATTGAGAAGTCTGGGACCAACAGGCAGGGTGGAACAAAAATTCTTCTAAAACCAGAGTTCATTCATACAATACAAGCACTTTATTCAGGATTTCAGTTCTGTTTGATCTGTTGAAACTATCTGCATGCTTATTTATCACTGTGAACTAATATAAAAAAGATATTGCATTTGTTTTAGCAATCACAGGAGGACTATTCCGAATGAATCTTGGATTGGGTGGACTCTTAGCAGGCGCAGCCATTGGTGCTGTGATGGGGTGAGTTCATAATTATCCAAGATTGAAAATGAATTATCTATGTGGTTATTTATTTAGTGAACATAATCCCTGAAACCAAATGATCACATCCTCGGTTGCTGAGTTTAACATTAGTTCACCACTTACTCCAGAGAGAACACCCGTTGGTAACATTCACCGTGGTTTGTGTATCTCCATATATGCATAAGGCTTTTGTGCTGAGGCCCCAGCAGCGGAGTTTGGCTATGCATGAACCCCAGTTTATCCTGAATCTTTTCATCAATGGCCGCTCTCACTATGTTAGTTCCAAGTCTGCCATTCAACAGATGGGGTTTGTAACAGGGAACTTGTTAGTGACTTCCCATGTTTCCCATTCTTGATCCAAATGATCTTGCTGAGGAAGCTTGTACCATATGGTATAACAAGACAGAAGGCAGTCAATAGGTGTGTTGAACAGGTCATCATGGCGCAGTGATTGAGGTGCAGCACGGATGGTTTCTATCAGCTGTGAGTTTTCATTATTCGGTGAATGTATAAGGCATTGATGGTTGTGAGGACATGAAGTCAGGGAGGGGTGTTGAAGAGGATTTCAGCTATGATACACATTGTTACATTCAGTTGAGCATCAACACTATACGTGTGTGATGACCTATGCCAGACAGGTACACAGCACTGTACAATGCAGTATGATACGCCAAGTGCTAAGGTCCAGGCTATTGTGACAGCAGTGCTGTTGGTAGATTAATAGGTTGTTTTTGGTTTTGACTTTTTTGCTACTGCTTTCTTCAGATATTCCTGGATAGATGATTCTTTCTGGAATTACTCTTAATTCTGTTGGGTTGGGATCATAGTTTAGTGTCTGACCATGCATGCAGGTATGCAGTTCTTTTTTGATGCTCGCATTGAGGAGGTGAAATACACTGAGTATAGTTTTATAGGGATTTTACTGAGACTTCATGTGCTGCAACACTCCATCAACATTGTAACGTCTTCATTAGGATCTGCTGCATGGTACAGAGAGAGTTGGGTGACACAACAGATATCATCAGCATTGAAGAACCTGCAAGACATAGTTCTTAACTGCTCAATTGTATATGTTTGAATAACATTAGGGTTAGCACGGAGTCCTGTGGTAGTCTGTTGCCCAACATGATATTATCCATAATATTCTTGCAAATTTTTGTCCCTCACCCAATATCATTAAAATAGATTATCTAGTCATGTGTTTCGTTGCTGTTTGCTGTACACACAGCTTGCAGTATACAGGTTAGTTGCCTACAGTTTTGAGATTACAACAGTGTCTACACTTTCAAAAAACTTCATGCAACAAACCGCAATAGATAGCCAACAGGTTGCTGTTAGCTGCTATTTTGTTTTATTCTGGAAGCCATAAAATCCACTGGGCAGATGTGAATTGGTTCACGACTGGTTTTCTATGGTAACACAAAAATATCTAGAATATTCCAAACTGGACTTTTATTAATAAGCAACATTTGCAACTAGTTAGTATGTAGTTGAAGGCATTTGCTTGAGCTGCCTTTTCTTTCCTTGTTTGCCTACTTTGACCATAACCTCTCACCCACACCCTTGTCTGGAATGATGGTAACTGTTCTCTGAAGCACAGAGAACTTGGACGCTGCTGAGGGTACAAAATTTTGCTTTTGTTAAATTTGTACTTTATCCCCTATTAAATATTTTAAAAACTTGAAAATCAGCCATTCAATGAAGAAAGAAAAAGCCAACAATCTATGATACATTTAAAGACAACTCTTACAAGAAAGTTTGTCTAAATTGAAGTTAATTATTGGAATGTGACTGTGAATAACTTGTACTGACAACTAGATAAGAATTTCGCTATTTGTTTTGTCTTTCAGGGTTCCAGCTGGGGCATTGATCCTGGCAATGCAGAAAGTTAGTGGAGAGACTGTCAGAGAACGTAAACGTAGAGAACGGCGAGAGATTTATGAACTTAAGTTGGAAGAATGGTATGAAGTGGTAATTCTATGATCATAGATAAATTGCTGAAATTAGAATAGCAGAGGAGAAATGTTTGAAAAGTGTTTTACAAGAATAATGTATTTTTTAAAAATGTTCTCTTCCTCTTCCTATAAATGTTAATATTTTAGTCATTGATCTTTTGAACAGAAAGGTTCCACCTGAAACATATTAATCTTCCTTTCTGTTCAAACACTGAGCAGACTGGTATGCATTTCTGTAATTTCAATATTGATCACCCACTGAAATCATAAATTTAAATGACAGAGTTAATGTGCAGGTTTTTAATTGGCACTGAGTTAAAATGAGCTAGAGCGGACACAATGGGCTAAATGGCTCCTTTTGCACTATAACACTTGTTTATCAGCAGTTTCTTAATGCCACTGTGTTTGTTTTTATTACATTCATGTATCATCTCCCCAGGAAAGCCAGACTGCATGTGACAGAAGGTTTAATTGATGAAATTGCTGGAAAAGATTCAATGGAAAATGATTTGGAGAAATTGGAAGAGCTGTTGAATCAGCCCAGAAATCCAGAGTCTTCAGTTAGAGAAAATCTGACTGAACAGGGGAATTGAGAAGAAATTTATATGAATGATACCAACTGTCGTAGACATCTTGAGAAAATATTGTCTGAGCTAGCTAATGAAAATTACGTTCTTGATGTTACTAAAGAACAGTCCAGTCAAAGTAAATTCCTGGGCTGAACTGATAAGCACTAGGATACCTGGAATTTGCTGTCTTGTATAATTATGAACATATTTGACTACTTGTATATTGAAGATGTCCAGTAGGATTTGTGTTTGTAATATTCTCTCTCACTGCAACATTTTGAAGACTTAGAAAAGTACTGTCTTTGAAAATGATAAATCAGTTGATCAAAGTTGCACCTTCGTTGTTGGAATTGTTCTAATGTGCTTTTGCTGAATTGAAGAACAGAGTAAATTCATAACAAACCTCATTCAGTACTCATTCATAACTGATTGCTCAGCAAATTAACTTGGCTGGAAGTTCCCTATCCCAAGAAATTAGCTAACCATTTCTCATGGCCACACAGAATGACTAAGATTAGAATCCTATCTCATGGTCCTTGCTGGACAAGTTCACTAAAGGACCTGATACCACCCAGCACTTGTCTTGTATATCAATGACTGGAGTTTAGTTTTTGGTTTTGATATATTTTTAATATAGATTAAAATCTTGACATTAATTCCTGTCAATGACTATGATTGAATACAGCAAAAGAGAAGTTTGTACCACCCATTAAAACAGTGTGTTGAAAAAGTGAGCAGTGCGAATGAAACACACATGAATTTGAGAACTTGAATTTTAAACTTGTATTGAAAACACATTCTGATCTTCCAAAATGTTATCATTGTGCTAGAAAAGAGTGTATTTGAGCTAATATGATCAAATATAAATGATAACGTGTTTTCTTGTGAAACCAAGTCAATGAAAGACAAATTCTGATCACTGCTGACTGATTTGTAGTTGCAATAAAGTCTTTTGAATTTGTGCTTTTGAGTTCTGCAAAGTAGCAGATTTAAGAATGATTTTAATTACTAAACCATCTTTATTTTTGAGAGTTGGAATGGTTACACAAAGTGAAGTTATTTCTACTGAGTGACCACAAATCTTTCACAAAATACTACTTGGGAAAAAGTAGAGCTAAAGATTTTATTCAATAATTTAGAAAAGAACTAGTTCTACAATGCTGAAACCAATGAAGACAACATGTATGTATACTTGAGGAGGTTCAGTATAGAAATAATGACTTGTATTTGAACTGTCAACACTTGAGTATGGGTTGTTGAATTTGAGATTCATTGTCTGTAGCTGGGGAGACAGAATAGATACTTGTAGCATGAATGAACTGAGGAGACTGGGAGGGTTGAGAGAAAGATGATGGAAGGAAGAAAAGGAGCTGGATTGTGTGGTCAGAAAGCAGGCACTCAGAGGGGAAGTTTGGAGCTCACCAGGATTGAAATCAGCTAACTCTTGTAATGAGTCTAAAGATCATTCAGAAACAGTGAAGAGGTTTATTAAAGAAGATAGATATAAGATCAAGTCTGATTGATCATGGCCGATATGTTTTTTCAACCCCATTGTCCTGCCTTCTCCCGATAATGCTTGATCCCCTTATTCATCAAGAGCCTATACCTGTCTTAAATAGTCAATGACTTGGCTTCCACAGCCCTCTGTGGCAATGAGTTCCACAGATTTACCACCCTCTGGCTGAAGGAATTCCTCATCTCAGTTCTGAAGGGTTGTCATTTCAGTCTGAGGCTGTCCTCAGGTCCTAATCTCTCCTCCTAATGAAAATGTCATCTTCAGGTACACTTGATCTGGGCCTCTCAGTATTCTGTAAGTTTCAATGAGATCTCCCCTCATCCCTCTAAACTCCATAGAGGACAGACCCAGAGTCTTCAACCATTCCTCATGTGATGAGCTCAAGTTTGGAGTTCTACAGTGCTGTCCTTACAGTTTACAATTCTTTCAAGTTTTGTGTCTCTGCAAACTTTGAAACTGTCCCCTGTACATCAAGATCTAACACATGACATAAGTAATTTTTTTTACTATCTGACACCTATGGGACCAGGAGTATACTGATTGATTAAATATTCCAGATAGTCAAAAGGTCACAAATCAATGTAAAAACACACACTAAGTAATGGAAATGTGATGCAGGGGGATACATGTCACTGTTATACTTTATTTACAACATAAATCAGTTAAATAATAATGCAACAAAAACAAAGTTGCTGGAAAAGCTCAGCAGGTCTGGCAGCATCTGTGAAGGAGAAAACAGAGTTAATGTTTCGGGTCTGGTGACCCTTCCTCAGAACTGATAGTGGTTGGGAAAATGTCAGTTTATATGCAGAAAACAGGGAGGTGGGTGAGGTAGGGAATAAACGATAGGATAGAGCTGAAGAGAGAGAAAGACAATTGGACAGACAAAGGAGTTTCTAACGATCAGGCTGGGAGGGTGAATGGTTGTTAATGGGGACTGTTAGTGACTAACAACAGGGGGTGTGTAATAGCAGGCTATGTGGTAACAAAGCCTGGTGTGTGGGGTGGGGTGGGGTGGGGTGGGGTGGGGGGCTGGGACAGGGGAAAAGTTTAGGCCCTAAAATTATTGAACTCAATATTGAGTCCGGAGGGCCGTAGGGTCCCCAAGCAGAAAATGAGGTGTTGTTCCTCCAGCTTGCGTTGGACTTCACTGGAACACTGTAGCAAGCTGGAGACAGAGATGTTGGCCAGGGAGCAGGGTGGTGCATTGAAGTGGCAGGCAACGGGTAGTTCAGGGACTTTTTTGCGAGTAGAACATAGATGTTCTGCAAAGCGGTTGCCAAATCCACGCTTCGTTTCCCCAATGTAAAGGAGACCACATTGTGAGCGGCGAATCAGTAGACTAGATTCTGGTAAGTGTAGGTGAAGTGTTGCTTCACCTGGAAGGTAAGGCAAGGGCAAGTTATGCCTGTCTCTTTGTGGGGTATGTGGAACATTCCTTGTTCCAGACCTATTCCAGGCTCCACCCACAACTCTTTCTCCAATACATCGATGCTGCCAGTTTCCTTCCCTAAAGGGCATTAATAAACCAGGTGGGTTTTCTGACAATTGGCAATAGGTTCATGGTCCTCATTTGATTCTTAATTCCGGATATTTTATTGGATTCAAATTCCACCATCTGCTGTGGCGGGATTCGTACACGGATCTCCGGAACGTCATCTGGGTCTCTGGATTAACAGTCCAGTGATAATACCACTAGGCCATTGCCTCCCCTGTTATTTGAGCTATATAATTTTTGCCTGTTTTATCAAGAGTGCTGTTTAAAACAAAATTTTATGATCAGGAAAAACCAGGATCCCACACCAACTTCTGCCCTGAAAAAAATCCATTGACCATTAATCCCTGTTTCCTATCACTGAGCCAATTTATATCCATATTGTCATTGAGTTATACTGAGAAGTTACACTGTTTCCCTCTCCACAGATGCTGCTGTGTTTCTCCAGCAATTTCTGTGTGTGTTTTTAATGAAAAATCAATTATAACCTGCTATACCCAGGTCTCTGGTTGCAGTCAGTGAGTAGGCCTCAGCGCGCTCTCCATGGTAACGAGCGGGGTCAGCGCGCAGGCGCAGTAGGCCATGGCGCGGAAATGGCGGCCGTTGTCGTTGATATTGGCGGCGGCGGTGGCGGCGCTGGCTTTGGGCAGCCCGAGTGTGTGGGCCGTCGGCCGCAGCTCCACAGCAGGTAAAAGGAGGGAGTCTCTTGGAACCGAGCCGCCGAATTATTTGGGGCTCGCACGATCGGGGATCTCTGTTCCTCAGACACGGGCCGTTTGAGACAAAGAAAATCAGGCAGAGTGTGGGATGGTGGGGGGTCGGGATGGTGGTGGGGCTGGGGCTGGGGCTGGGGCTGGGGCTGGGGCGGTGGGGTTGTTAGAGAGTGTTGAGGGGATGTGGGGGAAGGGGTAGGGGAATGTAGTGGGTGACAGGTTGGGGGTGTTAGGGTAAGGGTATATGGTAGAGTGTGTGTTGGGGTGGGCGATAGGCGGGGGGTGGGAAATGTGCAGTGGACTCCAGTTTAGGGGGATCTGACAGGGGATAGTCACGGGGCAAATGCAAGGGGTGAACACAGGGAAAAGCAAGGCAGGTTAATGGGAACGGAGTGATGGACGGGGTCCTCTGGAAAGGAGGGATCAGCATGGGGGAGGGTGCACTGTTGGGAAGGGGAAAGTGAATAATTGCTGAAGAGCAGCCTCCATGTTACTAATAATGCACATGCTGCTAACAAGTCTAAATGCCTGATGGTGGCACCAGTAGACTTCAGAGCATGCTGTTGCAAACAGGTAGCTATCTCTGATTCAATTTTAACCCCACTGCGAAGCCTCTTCTAAGGATGCCTAACCTGAAGAAGTTACCCTCCTCCCTCCGGAAGCCTCTCTGCTCCTGTGATGCTGCTTGGCCTGCTGTGTTCATCCAGCCCTGCACCTTGTTAGCTAGAGATAGCATTACAGATCTGAGAGAACTACTATTACTTGGTTGAAATAATTTGAGTTTGCTTTCATTTCCACTGAATGAACATGAAGAACAGAAGTAGGCTTGTCATCTCCTCACCTATCAATTACTTGGTAGCTAACCTACACCTCAGCTTCCTATTCTTTGACCTTTCTCCAATACCCCTACATAAAAAGAATCTGCTCAGTATTACAAGCACTAATTCAACCCTTTTGAGAAGAAAATTCCAGATTAAGTATAAAAGAATGACAAGTAATTTCGTGAAAAGACAAGATTCCTCAGGAGTTGACACTGAGCAAAATAAAAATGGACACTGAGCAAAATAAAAATGCAATTCTAGAGAAGCTCAACAGGTCTGGCAGTGTCTGTGGACAGAGAAATGAAGTTAATGTTTGGAATTGCGTATGAGCCTCCTTTGGAACCAGATGTAATGGTATTGTCTCTGGACTGGGAAGTATTCAGCAGACTGACGATCTCAAGAAAATATGTTACATTTAGTTCTTAGAGTTAAAGGGATCAAAGGTTATGGGGAGAATGCTAGAAAATCGTACTGAGTTGGATGATCAGCCATAATCATACTGAAGGGCAGAGCTGGCTCAAAAGGCCAAATGATCTGTTCCTGCTATTTTCTATGTTTCTGTGTTTCAAGGGCTGAGATGCAAAACTTATGCAAAGAATTGTGCATTTTGGAATTCTCTACCCCAGAAAATTGTTGCGTCCCTTTCTATATTTAATGCTGCAAAAGGCAGAATTTTGGTCTATTGAGGGATTTGGGCAGTGGATAGAAAATAGATTTGAAGTCTAAGGGCAGCCATGATCATATTGAATAGAAATGTTTGTTGTAGTTGAGTTTTCAGGAGTTTTGCCTGAATGCTTGTGAACCTAGTAGGAAGAAGGTTAAGCATGTTTATTTGACAATCCTTCCAGTGAATCAGGTTATAGAGGGAACATTGCTGATGAAACCTGTCCAGCATTATTATCTGTCACTAATACAAAGTCCAGATGACTGAAAACTCTGCGAGATCCTGTTTGCTTAATTCTTGTACGAGCGTACGAAGCAGGAGTAGGCCATTCAGCCCTTTGAGTCTGTCCATCATTTGATAAGATCATGGCTGATCTAATTGTAACCTCAAATCTACATTCCTGCCTACCACTGATAACCTTTCAATCCCTTGTTTAACACGAATCAATCTACCACTGCTTTAAAAAGTCCTTATTCAAGATTCTGTCTCCACTACCTTTTCAGGAAGACAGTTCCAAAGAGTCTTGACCCTCTGAGCAAAATTTTTTTGCCTAATCTCTTTTAAATGTGCGACCCCTGATATTTAAACAGTGACCCCTTTCTCCATTGTCCCATAAGAGGAAACATCCTCTCTATATCTACCCTGGAAAGACCACTCAGGATTTTAAATAGTTCAATCAAATCGCTTCTTATTGTTCTAAATGCCATGTGGTATGGACGTCACCTGTCCAAATCTCTCAATTACAGTGATCCATGCAGAATGAAGAAATTCTCCTTGAAGTGTTTTCATTTTGATATTAATGACTGGGAGGAGCTTTCTACCTATTGTTAAAATGACATGTCCATCATGCTTTGAATCCAGCACCAGAAAAAGAAACAACTCCAGCACACTGGATCCCACAACTTTTGGTTTGATTTATTGTAGTCACGTGTGCCTAAGTATAGTGAAAAGCTTTGTTTTGTAAGCAATACAGGCAGATCATAGGAAACAAGGGCATACAGATCATACAAGGTTACTAATGCACAGGAGGTGCACAAAGCAAGATCAGCATTATTTGAAGTTTGAGAGGTCCATTTAGCAGTCTGATTACAGCAGGGAAGAAGCTGTTCTTGAACCTGTTGGTGTGTGTGTTCAAGCTTCTGTAACTTCTGCCTGACAGAAGAAATTGGAAGAGAGCGCTGCCAGGATGGGAGGGGTCTTTGATGATGTTGGCAGCCTTTCTGCGGCAGCGAGAAGTGTAAATGGAGTCCATGGATGGGAGGTTGGCTTCCGTGATGGTCTGGGCTGTGCACATAACTTTCTGTAGTTTCTTACAGTCCTGAGCAGAGCAGTTGCCGTATCAGGCTGTTATGCACCCGGATAGAATGCTTTCTATGGTGCATCTGTGCAAGTTCCTTCACGGGGTGCCCTGCCTTTTGGTCAAGAATCTGCAGGTCAAGAATTGTTCCATTTGGTGTCATTGAAGACCCAGGGTAGAGATTCTCAACTCTGAGTCATATTAAACTAAGGGAGGGCTGACATGCAGAGTTGCAGAGAAGGCTCCATGGGTCCATGTGGTTTACAGCTCCTATTTCTTGTGCATTGGTCATTTTGGGAAAGCTAGAAGCATACGGCTTATTGAACTGGAGGATTACCCATGTGAAATTGACTCATTATTAAGAGTTCATAATGTAACTCTGAACTTCTAAAAGTACTTGGTACACAGCCCAAGGTCACCTATTAATATTTGGGCTGATGACGTCAGCATGTCAGCCTTCGCTTGGAACTACAAAACTTTTCCACCAGTTGTTAGTAGCACCAGCTTCTGGCTGTTGCAGATTAACGTGGGAAAATGTGAACTTGTCCACTCTGACAGGAATGATAGAACTATAAATGGAGATAGATTGCAGAATTGAGAATTGTGATACATGAATCACACGATGGTTATTATGCAGATACAGCAAGTGATTAGTAAATTAAATGGAATGCTGATGTTTATTGGAAGGGGAATGTGGATTATGTAAAAGGGAATGTACTACCACAGTTATATGCAGCATTGGTGAGGCCACATCTGGAGTGCTGTGGACAATGTAGGTCTCCTTCATATAAGAAGGGATGCAAAAGCACAAGATTCAGTTCAGAGAAGGTTCACTCAATTTACGTCTGGGAGCATGGTTTTGATGATGATCTCCTCTGCTGCTGGCTGGATTAGAGAATTCCTGGACAGGTTTGTAACAGAAGGACTCATTTGGGAATCTCCAGCATAGAGGTCAACAGTTTCATGAAATAGGATTTCTAAGCCTGATCGGAATTTCTGGGCCTGTGTTTATTAAACTGTTGCACATTTACGAATTTAATGCATTGCACTTATTGGGAAATAGGCGCATGTGCTCTAATAACGTACATAGGGGACAGAGTGGCATACTTGCATCTCTCTTAATTCAGCCAGAACCAAGCAGTAAAATTCAGTCTACTCTTGTTAACTATGACTCAATTCTAACAGTGTGGTATTTATTTTTTAGATGGAAGTTGGCACAGGTACAAGGACAAGATATCAGCAGCTGTGGGTTCTTACCAGCCCTGCATCCAACATAACTGCAGCTGTCACCAACGGTGTGGTCTTACTCTTTGGAATATTATTTTTAACTTTTTTATATCATGGTTTACTTAGAATTGCATCTTAATATTATTGCTCTCCTTCAGTTGTGCATGCCGGTGTCTTTAGCTGCCTCACATTTCCCATACAATCAGGAGTATGCTGGTTCATCCTTAGCCCAATTGTTCACTCTCTTTGTAATAATGTCTTTCGTGGTGGGTATCAGGTTGAGGCCACACCTTGAGGCGATAGAGGTTGATGAGGGCAAACACCACAATATTATATTGTTGTAGCTGTCCAACAGGGACAAGAGTATCTGCTTCCGAAAACTTGGCAGACTTCACTCAACACAAAAGAGGAAACCAGTTCCTCTGCAGCCCAGCAGTTACTGCATCCATTGCTGCTGTGTGATCTTTTTTGACCTGGTAATGGGCCAGTGAGCAAACATCAGGAGTTCAAATCACACCAGGGCATATTTTAATTTATGAAATCTGTGGACTAGCACCAGGAATGATGCCTTCTAGGCTGCCGCTGAAAGATTGATGTTCTTATAATGGAATGGAACTTCCTGTACCTGTGTGGTCTGGCCAGTGTGTAGCTCTAGTGCAAGTTCTGTGGTCATTTCTTGATGTCCCTCTGTAGTAGGTTAAGAAACCTCATGTAGTAAAAACAATTTCTCAAGGAAGTGGCTCATCGCCTTCTAAGGCAATAAATATAGTTTTGCCACTGATGCTCACATCCCTAGAGAGAATATAGAAAAATTAATTCTTCCAATGTCACCTTGGATGATGAACTATAAATCTCCCCACAGCAAATGTGAGTTCTAAGTTCCTGGCTGCAGGTTTTAACACCAGGAAAATTTATAAGAAGAATTATAAACAGGTGTTTTGTAGTCCTCGCTTATGCAAGCCATAAGCTTATCCTGGAAAATCATGCAAGCAAAACCTTACCGCAAACCCACAATCATTTCCTACTGTCGACCCAAGAGGATTTTATGATTAGAGAATTTGTTTGAGATAATTGGAGAATCTGAACTTTAAGAGAAATGTGTATATTTTTTATTTGTTCAAGGATGTGTGTATCTCTGGGAAGGCTAGCAATTGTTACCCATCCCTGTTTGCCCTTGAGGCTGTTTAAAAGTCAACTACATTGCTTTGGGTCTGGAGTCACATCAGGGCCTGATTGGATAAGAATATTAGATTTCCATCACTAAAGGACAAGTGAACCAGATGGGTTTTAACCATAATCTTCTGATAGTTTAATGGTTGCCATTACTGAGACCAACTTTCAGTTCCAGATTTTTGTAATTAAATTTATTAATTCAGTTTGAATTCTACCTCTGCTTTTGTGGAAGTTGACCCCCTGTGTTCAGAGTATTGGCCTGTGCCACCATATTACTAGCCCAGTAACAGTATCTTTAGGCCATTGTCTACCCCTAGATATAAGGTTTGACGTACTGTTGCATTGTCCCTCTGTTCATGAACTGGTTTACATCAGTTTAACTTAATTTGTGAAAACAAATTGAATGTTTCACCATTCTTGAATTGCTAGTGCTCCTGTTTTGTATAAGTACCTTTGGATGTATGATGCTTGTGAATTGTGTTTTGTTCATATCCCTTGAAAGTTGGTGCACAGCCTAATTGTTAACTCAGATTGCATAGTGTACAAATGCATTAATAGACTATGTTTTTCTTTTCTGTGAAAGTAGTAACATAGGCTAGAAGGAATAAATAAATATGTCTTTGACCTGTTACCCTTTTGTAATTTGTTTTATTCAGTGTCCTAGAGGATGATCTTTCACCCTTCAAGCAAGGAATCTCCAGTGATTTGATGGCTGATACTGTCAGTAAAAATGTAGGGACTCACTACCAGATAATGCAGAACAAGTTGTATCGGCAAGATGACTGCATGTTCCCTGCCAGGTGGGAGAATAGGCAGGCCTTCTGGGATTTGGTGCATTTGTAATATGGGACTAAAATGAACCAAAGAGATAGAATCTTTTCCTTTAGAGGTTTCTGACCATGAAATTCTCCAACATCTATAAACCACTGGAACCTGACTCCATCATCCATGATGCAATATCAACTCCTTTGTCTGTCCACCTGCTCTTCTCTGTCTTCGGGCTCTATCATTTACTCCCTCCCTTATCCCCCTCCCTATTTTCTGTATATAAACCAACGTTTTCCCAGCTACCATCAGTTCTGAGAAAGGGTCACTGGACCCAAAACGTTAACTCTGATATTTTTCTTCACAGTCGCTGCCAGACCTGCTGAGATTTTCCAGCAACTTCTGTTTTTGTTCCTGATTTACAGCATCCTCAGTTCTTTCAATTTTTATCCATGATGCTCCTTGTTCAAACAAAAATCTTTACAGCAGTGAAGAATGAGTTAAACCTTCAGTAGCGTGTATTAGATGTGAGTCACACAATAGGGTAAGGAAAGATTAAAGTCAAAGTCTTTGGTCCTCAACTGAATTTTTTAAATGTGACATCCAGTTTGCCTCCTTCCACATCTGGAACAGTACCTTCAACATTTTACCTCTCCCACTCTGTTGGAACACTCTTCCATATGTTCATCTAGAGTAATACTGCCTGGTAAGAGACCCTTTGCTCCAACCAGTCCATGCCGACCATCTTCCCAAACTGAACCAGTCCCACCTCCCTGTGCTTGGCCCATGTCCCTCCAAACCTTTCCTATTCATGAACTTATTCAAATGTCTTTTAAATGTTGTAACTGTACCTACATCCACCACATTCTGTGGCAGTTCATTCCACACATGAGCCACACTCTCTCTGTGTGTGTGTGTGTGTGTGTGTAAAAAATAAGTTGCCCCTCATGTCCTTTTATAAGATTAATTCCTCAAATGGCTTCCTTTCTGATTTCTCTGCTATTATTCTCCTGAAGTGTAGGTTAATTCAGAATTCTGCAACCCATATCCTCTAACAGACAAATACCTTCACACAATTCATGTCTTTTCTGAACTGAGTTCACATCAGTAACTTCATCTTGTATCCTTGTGAGTTCCACCATGGTCAATCTGAGTGATTTCTTTAGCCTATGTGATCTTTAGACTTGGGGTCGCTGCTCGATCACTGCTGTACAAATCATGGCCCCCTGGAATATCTCAGTTACAATCAACAGCTCATTTAATTGCCTCTCTCCCCTCCTTCGAAACCACAGATAAAGTAATTGGTTTGAAAGTGGCTGTCTTGATCCCTTTTGTCAACCACCTGCTTTTACAAACATCTTGAATGTGCTTTTTATGTGATTGATTTATAAACATCTTTAGTTTGTGGAACACAAACCATTTCACACCCTTGTGTGGGTAGTTGAAATGATCTAAACTTTGCTTAATTTCTATCACTGGATAATTCTAGCTTCAGCAAGTAATTATTAAAGTGCTCAAAATCATGAGGAACTTGGACAGAGTAGTCACTGAGAAACATCTCCAGCAGAAGTAAGGGTTAAGAATCAGAAGAGAGTTTTAGGATAATTAGCAAATGAAGCAGTGCTGAAATGAGGAATCCTGAGGAAAAGTGTTTAGGATCTGGAATACACTAATGATGCTATGGTGGTGGCAGTTTCAATTAAGACATTGAAGAAAAATTAGAAAGCTAAAATATAAACATTGGAAACACGAAGCTGAAGGCATGATGATCTAACCACTCTGTGGCAATAGGCCATGCATGCTATAAATGCTTCTCTTGATATAGCTCCATTTGTGGTGAGCTAGCCAATCAATTTCTTACTGTCTTTTTGTTTTATGTTCAGGTGCAGTGGGGTAGAGCATTTTATATTGGAAATAATTGACCAGCTTCCTGACATGGAATTTGTGCTCAATGTCCGAGACTACCCTCAGGTTCCAAACTGGATGAAGCCCATCAGGCCTGTTTTATCTTTCAGCAAGGTAATCATCAAAAGAGACTTTCAACAAAGTCCAGCTCTTGGACCTGGCGTTGACTGTGCATTTTAAACAATAAAACATTGCAACTTATTTTTCTGTTACAGACATCAGAGTACTATGACATCATGTACCCTGCTTGGACCTTCTGGGAGGGAGGTCCAGCAGTCTGGCCCATTTATCCAACAGGACTTGGACGCTGGGACCTAATGAGGAAGGAGTTAAAAGTGTAAGGCATATTTGACGAATAGAATCACTGCTAAAGGAATATTTTTGCTTTTATTTTCACATAGGGAGAATCTGACTGTATAAGTGTTGGGAGCCCTAGTTCTGCCATTCATTGGGTTATTTATGCCATTGGGATCTGATGGTTGGGGTAGTATGTGGATGATCCAAGGAAGTCAGGAAGACTGACCTCGTTGACCCTGCTGTATCTGATACTGAAATTGTGGCCTAACATGGTTGTGTTGGTCTATGATATAATTAGAAGGTCAATAATCACAAAGAATATACAAACAGAATTGATAGGAAAAGGAACTATAGGTGTTCTAATATCTCTGGACTACTAATCCAGAACCCCAAGCTCATATTCTAGCAACATAGGTGTGAGCCCCACCATGGAAAATGGTGAAATTTGAAATCAGTTTTTTTAAAAACTTTGGAACAAAAAGCTAGTGTAATGTTGACTGTAACCACTGTTAATTGTTGTTAAAAAAAAATCTGGTTCACTAATGTTCTGTAGAGAAAGTAATCTACTACCCATACCTGGTCTGACCTACATATGCCTCTAAACCCCAGCAATTTCATTGACTCTTATTGCTATTTAGGCGATTCATGATGGGCAGTAAATACTGGCCCAGCCAGCAATGCCCACACCCTATGAATGAATTTTAAAAATGCAGAATTTGATTTCTTTCCCCCTTACTCTTGCTATTTGTATTCTATAAATGCTTATCTGCCACAAAGAAAGAAAAATTTGCAATAAATTCAGAAATAACTTAAAAACTCAGCAGTCCGACAGCGTCTATGGAGAGAAAGCAGAGTTAATGTTTCGCGTTCAGTGACTTCTTCAGAAAAGACTCTTCAGAGAAAAACTTGCATCTCTAACACCTTTCATAATCTCAACATTTCATAGCATCTTACAACCAGTGTTATATTTTTGAAGTGCACTCTCCTTTTCTTGCATTAATTATGTTGTGTTCTGAGATCATGAAAGGTGCTTTGGAAAGCAAACCTTTCTTTTTTGGAGGTTTACCTGAAATTGCTGCTCACATGAGATTGTATGGCTGAAGCAGTGACTTTGTCAGGGTGCACTGTGCATTTTGAGAAAATGGACATACATTCTTTAGCCTTTCTAAATGGGATATGCTACAAATTGAACAATCAGCAGAATAATAACACAATCCAGAGTCTGTGGTACATTACATGAAGAATAGCTGTTTACAATGGGGCTTTTTTTGTTGTTCCACTAGATCTGCTGAAAAGTGGCCATGGGAGGAGAAAGTCTCAAAAGGTTTTTTTCGAGGATCAAGGTAAGGCTAAAAGTCATGACCATTATAATACAATGTACAAGTTACTGAGTATATTAAGTGCCACTCAATATGACACTTTCATAAGGACTTGGTTGTGGAGGATAGCTCTGGATCTCAAAGGTGTTAAACTGACCATCTAGATCCCGTAATCTTGGTAACAATGTGTATTATACCAATGTAACTGATTGTCACATCCTGTTTAAGACACAATTCTCTACCAAGCTATGTAGCAGGCCCTCTAGACCCAACCTAAAAGGAGGATGATGGCAGCATATGGAGTCCATCTGGCGCATACAACACGGTGAGCAGCAGTTCAGTGGAACTCAAATTAGACAGCGGCACAAATTCCAGTGGATTCTACAATATTTCCTAATCTGTGTTTTGAGTGATTCACGCAGTCAGTCATCAGCTGAAAATTTGAGAATCTTGTAGAATGACAACTTGTGACAGAATTCAACAAGGCAGAATAAGCAGTTAATGCTAAAAACATTTCAGACCTGGTAGCACACAATTGCTTCTATGTGGAGCTAGAGCACTAGTCACACTTGGCAATTACAGATTACTTTGGGTGCTGATGAAGTATAGGAGCAGTCCCAGATTGAGGTTCTGCTGAAGACTAAATGGGCATTGGAGGCTGTGTGAATAAAATTGAAATTGCTGGTGGGCAAGGGAAATCTTTTGAAAATAAGGTATATTTTCCAGTTGAGAAAGCTAGAAATAAACAAAGTACTTACTGCTCCGAGTGAGTTTTGCTGCCCTAGCAAACAGGCACCACAATGCACAGCTCCAGTAAGGAAAATCAAGGGTGACAGAAGTAATTTAAAAATGAAGCTGCAGCACTGTGATGCCAGGATTAAGGTGATGAAGGGGAAAATTAGAAGCCTAAATAGATAGCGTGATGGAAGAAGGCAGAAAGGAAACTGTTGAGGCAACAGTAAGAGATTTGTAATTTAAACAACAGTAAAGGCAGAAAATAATTAAGGCTGCAGACAGTAGGATTCATTCAGCAAATCTGTTAAAGAAGAAGGGAATCCTTGTTAAGTGTAAGGCAAAGGGGATTCCTAGCAGTGTTGTGCACAGCTAATTTTCTTTGGAAAACCACTAAGAGGACAGGAATCATTTGTTAGGCACCAGAAGGCAGGAATCTTCCATTTTAGCTGCAAAATTTATTTTGGCATTACGCAGCTTAACAAGGCAGTGCTGAAAGAACTCTATCCCATATCTACAGTAGAGGAGAGTTTAGCCAGATTATCTAAAAATAGAGACTTCATGCATTTTGGTGCCAAAAGCGCCCCCTGGCAGATGCCAATAGATGACATGGGTGACATTGATACAGTGTAAGGCAATCAAGGGGCATGACCAGATGATTTATAATGTTTTAAAACACATGCAGGCTGAAGATATGAATGCAAGTATGAATTATCTGAGAAATTTATTTGCTTCTTAGGACACATTGTCAACAGAAATTAAATACAAATAGTCATTTGCTAGAAGAAAATACATTTTGTTGAAGTGTTTTATCTTACTCATCAGATATTTCACAAGAATACCAACTTAATAGGAAAACCCACACTTGTCCTGCATGAGACTGTTGATTGGTTGGCAAGTAAGTGTTACCATGGAGAATGCATCCATAATGCTGATTTACAGCTAACTGCCAGGCTTTGTTTAAATTTTAAACCTAACAGCTTAACTTTGATTATTCAGGGCAATTCTCTGTGAAATAAGCCAGTAACTGGTTGCAGTTGCTGTGCCTGTTTACTGACTTTTTGTGACTTGTGCAGTAGAAGGGAAGCAATGATCTAGTGGTATTATCGCTGGACTGTTAATCCAGAGACCCAGATAATGTTCTGGTTCGAGTCCTGCCATGGCAGATGGTGGAATGTAAATTCAATAAATATCTGGCATTCAGAATCTAATGATGCCTGTGAATCCATTGTTGGAAAAACCCATCTGGTTCACTAATGTCCTTTAGGGAAGGAAATTGCCATCCTTACCTGGTCTGACCCATAGCAATGTGTTGACTCTTAACTGCTCTCTGGATGGGCAATAAATGCTGCCTAGCCAAAGACGCCCTCATCCTGTGAATGAATAAAAAAAAAACTAGGTTGTTGAAACCTCTATCAGCACAATGCTTTCCAAAAGATCAAGGACATGCTGATGCTTACAGATATCCTGGTCCTCTGCAGTACATCCTTTCTGAACATTGTAGCTACTGATACTTCAGCTACAAGTTTGACAGCAGTGCTGTTCCAAGAGCAACAAGTCAGATGTACTGCCTCCAGGTTATTGTCATACATCAGGACATGTTGTGCAGTCACAGAGAAGAAGACTTTCTTTGTCAGGTGGGTTTGTGAGAGATTTTTTGCACTACACCCTTAGCCCAAAAGTGCTAGTAGGAAAAGACCACGAATCATTGGTCTCCCAATGAAATAACAAAGTTGGAATGGATGCCTCCACGAAAACATAGATTCTGACTTTACCTTGTGATGTTTACCTATGAGACGTGGTACGTGCAGGGAAGGCTACAGGCGAGAGTGAAGTGCGCTCCAGAGCAATGGTTCTCCATCGCTGATTTCCCAATTCCATCCATTATATTTTTTATAACCTAAAAGTGCCCTGTCTGTTTTCCACTTCAGGTTGTCGTCTTTTGTGTTTATTTTTGTAGTTAGTACCCTGCTGTGGAAGTTGATTTGCTGTAGGTCAAAATAAAAAGTCCAGCATTACAGACCTTTGCGCTCTTAGGTACAAAAGGTATTGAGGTACAAAGTCTTAGGAATAAATTAGAAGAATAAAGAAATAAAAAATATAGAATTACAGTCCTCCCATGCAGAGAAGACAGAACAGGCAAGTCCGTGCTGGCTTCTAGTCTGTGCCAATACTCACCACCAGCCTGCACCGGGACCTTGCCCCCAGTCCACGCCAGGCTTCTCTTTGAAGCTCTTGAGGCCACAAGTCCGTGCTGGCTTCTCGTCGAGCTGGGACTCAGTGTTGGCTTCCCGTCTAGGCCGGGAGTCCGTGCTGGCTTCCCGTCGAGGCGGGAGTCCACTCTAGATTCATCTCGCACATTGCTGATGCCGTCCAAGGATGGGAGGTAAGAAGAAAAAAAGAAAAGAAAGCATGAAAAGAGGAAAAAAATGGATGGAGTGGACGAGCTCTCGCTCAGGAGTCGTACTGCACCACCATCTTGCAGTAGTGATGAGTTGAGATGGAATGTAGTGTTTGAGTGAAACAAGTTAAAGAGTACGGCATAGCTGGAGCAGGGTGTGTTGATGTAAACCATATCTCATTTTATAATCAAATGTTTTATCAGTGTTTGAATGTAATATATTAACAGTTTCATGTTCTATTCACTTTTGCCATTCTGAATTTATCATGAAACTTATGGAAAGTGCTCATATCATGATGCTTGAGAGAGATAGCTGAATTGTATTATTGGATGGTGTTCTGGAGACCTGACGAATAATCTGGAGAACACAGCGTTAAGGAAATTTAACTGAATAAATCTGGAATAAAATGCTTGATTCAGCACTGATGATTGTGAAATACTGGATTCTAATAAAAGCGATTTTTTTTTTTTTTTGTTTTTTTTTTGCATGAGGAAATCTACCATTCTTATCCAGTCTGGCCTGTATGTGGTTGAGTTTTTATTGCCCTTTAAATGGTATACCATGCCATTTGGTTGTATTGAAGAAGATAGCTAAGCACCATCTTGATGGGCACTTATTGATGGATGCTGGCCTTGCCAGTGACACTCACCACCAGGCCATCCCAATCTGTTACTTACCTCTTTATTATTTTCGCACAAACAAAAGCAATCAAAAGCACAGGGCAGTGGACAGTTTTTCATCATGTGTATCTCTGTCTCTCTTTGCATGCATGTGTGGATATTATACTGTGCTGATGGGCCAGAATTATCTCGTTTTATTTCAGGACAAGTTCTGAGCGAGATCCTCTTATTTTGCTGTCTCGGGAGCAACCTTTGTTAGTAGATGCGGAATACACCAAAAACCAAGCCTGGAAGTCCGAAAAGGTACTCCTGGCATTAGTTGCTGAATTGAAATCAGGAGACTTCTACATAGGATTATATAAGAATGAGACATTTATATAAAAATTTCTGTATGAAATATGGTAAGCAACCCAGTTCGTAGAATAAAAGCAAAATACAGTGGATGCTGGAAATCTGAAGCCAATGCTGGAGAAATTCAGCAAGTCTGGTAGCATCTGTGGATAGAGAAACAGAGTTAATGTTTCGAGTTTTGTATGATTTCTGTTTTTTTTTCTTCTGAAGAGGAGTCATGTTGGAGTCAAAATGTTAACTCAGCTTTTCTCTCTCTCCACAGATGCAGCGAGTTTCTCCAGTGTTCTTTGTTTGTTGATAGTGTGTGAAGTCACAGTATAAGAATGTCCCTAATTTGTACAAACTGACATTGCACAAGGAACCTTGCTAAATCTGCATCTTTCTCATTCTCAATGTCTTTCATCCCACCATTCATGAGCTTAGCAAAAACCATTTTGACACACTTGGAAATTCTCTTCTGAAACCTCAAACTTTCCAGCTTTCCTGCATAAAACTGATCTCTTTGAGCAAACTTTGGTTCACCTGTCTTAATGTTTTATCCTTTGGCTCCATGTCTTTTTTTTTGGTCTGATTTTTTGGCATGATGGGCCAAAGGGCCTTTTTCCATTTTGCAAAATCTCTATGATTCTATTCCATGACGTTATTCGAAAAAGATCTGGGAAATTCTCTCGACTGTCCGGGTCATATTTAGCTTGCAACTGATGACACTATTACAACATTACGCGGTCTTGGAAATGTAGTAGCTGTTCTTGCAGTGAGGCCACAAGGGTAGAGAGTGTGGAATGGCAGGTACAGTAGTATAGTGTTTATTTACTCAATCCAGTGAATTCAGTTCATTGCAGTTGAAGAACTCAAATTCAGCTAATTCAACAAATTAGAAATTTAACTAGCCGTCAGATTATTATTAAAACTTGTCTGTTCACTAATGTCCTTAACCAAACAAAATCTGCTGTCCTCGCCCACTTGGCCTACATGTGACTTCAGACCCACAGGAATGTGGTTGCCCTCTAAAATTACCTTATAAACAGGCCACTCAGTCTAGGGATAGAAAATAAATGCTCTGTTTGTCAGCGATGCCCAAATGCTGTGAATGATTTGGAGAAGATAAAAGTTCAGTAAAGCCCATCTTCCTGAGGTTTGGAGGGAGGTTCATGGCTAGTTTACAGTAAATAGACACTTTCCTATCCAACTATTCCCAACTAGAATGCTGACTCGGGAACTCTCAATAGCACAACACAGAGGAGATTCTGCATCTTTGATATGTGCATGGGATGCGAGTGTATTTGGCAGGGCCAGCAGTTATTACCCATCACTAATTACTGCTGTGAAGGTGATATGAGCTGCCTCCTTTCACCATGGCAGGCCATCTGTTGTAGGTACACCTATGGTGCTTTTAGGAAAATGCTGCCTACTTGAAAATGCATTGCTGGGCTTGTTTTCTTTAGAGCAGTGAAGGCTGAGAGGGGATCTGATTGAAGTGTACAAATTATTGGCAGGCGTACAAAGGGAGAAACTTTTCCCCTTAATGGGGCCAATAATCAGGAGGCACAGTTCTAAGTTAAGGAGGTTTACAGTGGATTTGAGGAAACTTTTTAAATCAGAGTTTGGTGGATACCTGGAGCTCAATGTCTGAAAGGGCAGTAGAGGCAGGAACCCTCAGACATTCGGCAGGTATTTAGATGAACTCTACTATGGGCTTAAGTGCTGGAAAATGAGACTAGAATAGATAACTGCTTGATGACTGATGGAGGCATGATGGGCCAAAGGGCCTTTTTCCATTTTGCAAGATCTCTATGATTCTATTCCATGACGTTATTCGAAAAAGATCTGGGAAATTCTCTCGACTGTCAGGGTCATATTTAGCTTGCAACTGATGACACTAAAACAGATAATTTGATCATTTATTTAATTTTATTTGTGGGAGCTTGCTGGACACCGATTCGCTGTGTGTTTCTTATAGTCCAACAATGACGGCTTCAGAACTGCTACATGGGCTTGATATCTCTTGGGTCTTGCTTTAGGTGCTACATAAATGCTAAAGTCTTTTTTAAAACTCGTGTATCATATGTTCTAAAACAAAAGCAGGAATTGCTGGAGAAACTGAATAGGTCAGGCAGCATCTTTGAGGAGAAAACGGAATTAATATTTCGAGTCCAGTGACTCTTCATCAGGACGGATAGCAGCTAGGAAAATATGGTATTTATGCTAGAGACAGGTGTTGGATGGTGTGTGGAGGAGAGGTGAGTGGATAAATGGAGAAGGAGCCCAGAGAGAGAGAGAGAGATATGAAAGGGGTAGACAGACAATGGGATTTTATAAATACTGAACTACCTGGTAACAGTTCATATCTAACTGTAGTACAGTTCCACCAGATCTATTGAAAATGTAAAAGTAAACAGCATTACTGGTGGTTTTAATCAGGATTTATTCAGAAATTGTGGTGTAAAGCAGGCTTTTGGAATTTTGCACCTATAACTTAGGAATGAATTTTTGCCCAAATCCAAAAGTTTGCTGCCCATATCCTAACTAGAACCTAGTCTCACTCACCCACCTACAACTCTAGCAGCAGTCAGTATTAAAAGTTCTCAACCTTGCTTTCAAATCTCTCCAGCACCTTGGCCTTCTCTATTATCGTATGCTTTGCCAACCTGCAAATTTCTGAGGTCTCTGTGTTCCTCCAATTCCTCTAATCAGAAGTAATACATCAGCATGGATAAAAGATTAGTTAACAGATGGGAAGCAGAGAGTAAGTGTAAATGCATAATTTTCAAGTTGGTAAATTGTGACTAGTGCAGTGCATCAATAATTAGTACTGGGCTTCAGCAATTTGCAATCCGTATTAAATACATAGAAGAGACCAGGAGTAGTGTATTAAGTTAACAACAATAAAATTCAATTCACAAACTGTGGGGAGGACACAAAAGGAGCATAATATGGGAAAGTGTGATGTTATTCATTTTGGTAGTAAGAATGGAAGACTAATATTTTCAAAAAAGGCATGAAACTGCTAAATGTTCAGAGAAACATGGATGTACTTGTACAAAGCATGAAGAAGGTTAGCAAGCGAAACTGGAATACTGTGCACAGTTTTGGTCCCCATTTCTAGAGAAGGATATTCTTGCATTGGCAGTGCTACAGCAAAGGTTCACTAGATTGATACCTGCATAAGAGGGTATTATTAAGGTGACAGGCTGAGTAAATTGGACCTGTAAAATTTGGAGCTTAGAATATTGAGAGGTGAGCTCCTCGAAACCTACATGATTCTGAAGGAGCTTGACAAAGCAGACACTGAGTGAAAGTTTCCCTTTATTTGTGAATTGCAAACACAGGTAGTCACACATTTTCAGGACTGAAAATAAAGAGAAATTTCTTCAGTGTGAATCTTTGAAATTCTCTGCACCAGAGGGCTGTGGACAGTCCAGTATTTGATACATTTGAGACTGAGATTGATAGATTATTGAACTCTCTGGGAGTTGCAGGGTATGAGGACCAGGTAGGAAAGTGGAGTTGATATCAAAGATTAAGCAGAATTGTATTTAATGATGGAACCAATGGGCTACTTTTGCTCCTATTCTGCTTGTTAAGTGTTCTCTTGTTAATTGTAGTGCCTCTTGTGCATTCCAATTTTCATCTTCACCATTAGCAGCTGTGCTTTCAACTGTCTAGACCCTAGGCTTTGGAATTACTCTTAAACCTCTGCAGTTTCTCAGCTCCATTAAGATGCTTCATAAAACTTACCTCATTGACCAAGCATTCGATAATTCATCGTGACACCTCTGTATGTGGCTCAGTGCCAAACATTGTTTGATATTACTTCTTAAAATGCTACATTAACAGTGCAGCATTGATACAAGTTGCTAATATACTCATTTGATTTATTTGCAGGATACTCTAGGAAAACCCCCTGCTAAAGAAATTCCATTGGTGGACCATTGCAAGTACAAGTATGTTGTAAGAAACCTTCTCACTAACAGTTTAGTGCATCCCATGCAGAATTTGCCTTCCTGCTGTCGCATTTGCTCTCCCTGGCATTGCGGTGATAATAAAACCAAGGATGTACAGCAGGTCAGTCAGCCCCTGAAGAAGTAAAAGCAGGTCAACATTTTGAGGTGGCCCCCTTTGTCAAACCTCAATAGGTATGAGTCATTAGCCCATCATCATCTTCCTGTACTCATGGATCCCTTTGCTGCTCCACCTCCATTTCTATTTTAATTATCCAAGAAGTCTGTACCTCGTGTTTTTACCTGCAAAAGTGTAACACCTCATGCTGATCTATATTGGAATGCATTTGCCATATTGTCTTCTTGATTGACTAAGTCTGTATTCTCTAGGATTTAGGAGAATGAGAGGTGATTTCTGTGGAATATATAAACTTGCCAGAAGGTTTGCTAGGCTGGATACAAAGAGCCAGTTTTCCCTGGCTAAGAGTCTAAAACTAGGGATCGTAGTTTCAGCATTTCAGACTGAGATGAAGAGAAAACTTTCTTCTCTCAAAAGCCTGCAAATTTTTGGAATTCTCTGTCCCACAGAGCTGGGGGATATTTGAATATAGTCAAGACTGAAATCAATATATTTTTGAATGCAAAGAGAATTGAGAGATTTGGAAACATAACAGGAAAATGGAATTGAAGCAGAAGGTCATCTATAATCACATTGAGTGGTGGAGCAGGCATGAAGGATTGTTAGGTGTACTTCCTGTTCCGGTTTCTCATGATCTGTCAAGCAGGTTGGCTGTAACTCGTGTATCCGGTAGTTGCATGATTTAATCTGTGATCAGAGTCAGGCATATTTCTGTGGGATCCCGTACTTCCCTTCTGCTTTAAGTCTTCCTACAGGCAGGCCCTTTTAAAAAAGTCGAGTCCCAATCAACCTATTGGCCTACATTGGCTTTGAATGGAGGGGGTGCAAGGCTGCTGCTATTGCTGTTACAAAATGCTTGCTTCTGTTTTCAGATCTCCCCCGACCTACCTTGAAGCTCAATGTCTCAGAAATGTTCTTTACAAATGAGGGAAACTTCAAGTGAGCCAGCTGAGAACTTCCTGGAGAGCTGCCACTTGTGACCTTCAGTTTAGCTCAGCGTGGAGTTTCTCTCACACTGAGAATAATTGCGTTTACTGCTTATGGTGAATGGGGTTAAAAAACAGTCTGTTTCTTTCCCAGGTATCTGTTTAATTTCCGAGGTGTTGCAGCCAGTTTCCGATTTAAACACCTCTTTCTGTGCGGATCCTTGGTTTTCCATGTCGGGAATGAATGGCTGGAATTCTTTTACTCCCAGCTGAAACCTTGGGTACATTATATTCCTGTTAACCAAGACCTCTCCAACGTTCGGTAAGTCTCTTGATGGGATGTCAGAGTTTTGGGTTATCTGCTGCCTACACAGTTGTTAATCGATTTGGTAGTCATGTTCAGATTTAGCTGAAGGACATTTACAAAGTAGTGATTCCATCTTTTATGGGAAGGAGAAGAATTTATTTGCAGAGTAAATGCTTTTTTTTTATCATTCTAATGTGTCCCCTTGGAGGTTTACCTGTATAGTTTTGGCAGAATCCATAAAACTATGCTAGTGTATCCTATCCTGGTGAAGCTACAACACCTGTGTGTCAAGCAATGGAAGGTGTGTGTAATAGAAGAGGCTAAGCAATCCCATAACAATGGATCAGGTCTAAGCTCTGCAGTCCTGTCACAACTAGTTGTGAATGTTGGTGTACAAATAAACAACTAACAGGAAGTACAAGCTCCACAATTATTCCCAGACTCAACGATGGGGGAGTCCAGACATCATTGCAAAAGACTCTACTCTCAATCATAAGCAAACTGATGGAAGGGCTTATTGATAGTATTATCGAGCATCACTTGCAAAGAAAATCCTGTTCACTGGTGCTCAATTTGGGTTCTGCCAGGTCTCGACCTCTTTACAGCCTCAGTTCAAACATGGAAAAAAAAAAGCTGAACTCCAGAAGGGAGGTAGGAGTGACTGCCTATGGCATCAAGGCAAACTTTGACTGAATGTTGTGTCAAGGATCCCTGGCAAAACTGGAGCAGATGAAAACTGGGGGAAAGCTTGCCGCTGGTTGGAGTCATACCTGGTGCCAAAAAAAAGGTTGTGGTTTTTAGAAGCCAGTCATCTCGGCTCCAGGACACTACTGCGAGAGTTCCTCACAGTAATGTCTCAGACCCAACTATCTTCTGCTGCTTCATCAGTGACCTTCTCTCCATCATAAGGTCAGAAGTGGGTATGTTTGCCGATGATTGCACAATGTTCAGCACCATTCACAATACCCGCAGTCCACATTCATATACACCAAGACCTGGACAATATTCAGGCTTATGCTGATAAGCGGCAAGTAACATTCATGACACACAAATGTCAGACAATAGCCAGCTCTTTGACAAGAGAATCTAACCATTGCTCCTCGACATTCAGTTACATTGTCATCACTGAGACCCCCCATTGTCGACTTCTCAAAAGTTACCATTGAGCTGAAACTGAACTGGACCAGCCATGTAAATGCTGTGACTACAACAGCAGATCAGGGGCTATGAATTCTGTGGCGAGTAACTCACTTATGTCTCCCCAGTTCTTATGCACCATTTACAAGGCATAAGTCAGGAGTGTGATGGATAAGTGCCACTGTCAAGACTCGGCACCATGCTGAACAAACCAGCTGCTTAATGGCACTAGCCGTCACCTTCTACATCATCAATAGGCACTAACAGCAGCGTGTCCTGCCTACAAGATGCGCTGCAGAAACACACCAAGGCCCCTCTGACAGCACCTTCCAACCCATCAAGAAGGATGAGAGCAGAAGCTGCGCAAGAGAACCGCAACCTGCATGTTCCTCTCCAAGCGATGTACCAGCCTGACTTGGAAATATATCGGCATTCCTTCAGTGTTACTGGATCAAAATCCTGGAACGTTGTTTCTTAACAACATTGTTAGTGTCCCTATTCCCTAAGGCTAGCAGTTCAAGAAGGCAGGTCACTACTACTTTCTCCAAGACAATTAGGGATAGGCAATAAATGCAGCCAATGATGCCTACATCCCATAAATTATTAAATAAAGTGCACAGGGTACAGTAACCATGCAACCGTGGTGTGCGCAGGGTGCGGTAACTGTGTGACCATGGGGTATGGTAACCATGCGACTGCGGTGTGCGCAGGGTATGGTAATTGTGCAACTGTGGGGTATGGTAACCGTGCGACCGCGGTGTGTGCGGGGTATGGTAACCGTGCGACCGCGGTGTGTGCGGGGTATGGTAACCGTGCGACCGCGGTGTGTGCGGGGTATGGTAACCGTGCGACTGCGGGGTACGGTAATTGTGCGACCACGGTGTGCGCGGGGTACGGTAATTGTGCGACCGCGGTGTGCGCGGGGTACAGTAATTGTGCGACCGTGGTGTGCACGCGGTACGGTAATTGTGCAGTTGCAGGACTAAGAGCAGTTGACTGGGGAACTGATCAATCTTGTTTCTCTATTACTGTAGGGAGTTGCTACAGTTTGTTCAGGAAAATGACCACATTGCCAGAGAGATTGCAGAGAGGTAAGGTGTGAAACCTGCTGCTGTGGTTTGAATAAAATCAACAAGGTATCACCAGTAGAAGTCAAAACACAGACTAACTCCATAGGCCCTTAAATCTGTTCCCCCATACTGTTTTAACTCTTTGTTTTATTTCATTATTTTCCCTATTTGTGGGATCCTTTACCGAGGGGTCCCAGCTTTAAAGTCTGTTCTGAAATTGAGATCTCTTGACAGTTCAGCACTGCACTGGAGTGTCGGCCTGAATTTGTTGCTCATGTGCCTTTAGGGCGAGTAGAGCACACGAACCTCTGGCTCAGAGATGATAATGTTATCACTGATCCATAACTTGCAGGTGTACTCCCATCTACCCCTGTAGTGTAATGTGTAATGTTTAACCTGTTATTAGCAACAGCACAATGGGCCTATAATTGTCAGGTTTGTGGCCCTGTTGAAGGTTGGTGCCCCACTAATTCAGTCCCCAGTGCTTATCTTTCCCTTCACAGGGGCCGCCAGTTTATCCTGGAGCACTTGAAGATGGAGGATGTTTCCTGTTACTGGAAGCAGCTGCTTATGAGATATTCCAAACTCCTGCTGTATAAACCAAAGAAACAGAAGAAGTACATCCAGATCTTTGCCAAGCATGAGCGAGGTGAGCTGTAGCTCCCGGAGACACGGATGCATTCACAGCAACTGCAGGGTCAGGTTACCTGTGAAACTTCCAACACAGTCAAACCAGTTTGCTAAGCTGAGTAACATTCCCAAAGGTTTTCAAAAACTTTGCTGAAGTTACAAATTCTGGTCCAGTCAGGATCCAGCTAAACTTACACAAAACACAGAGTCCAGCCACTTAAGGCTACATCCTTCTGTCCACGTTAAATTCAAGGGAAACGATGTGGAATGGAAAGCCTTCAAAAATAAGGAACAAAATATGTACGGTCTCTATAATCATGGCCTCAGTGTCATCTGTTTAATTTATTGAAGAAAATTCCAATAGCAATTTTTTTTTAATAGACAGTCAATGGAGACACACTCGACAGCTTCAAAGAGTAAGAGGTGACTTGATTGAAACGTGTAAGATCCCAAGGGTCTTGCTAGGATGGATGTGGAAAGGATGTTCCCTATTATGAATTAATTTACAACTTGGGGTTGCCTTTTAAGACAAAGATGAGAATATTTTTCTCTGAGAACTTTTGGAATTCTTCAAAAGATGGTGAAAGCAGGGACTTTGAATCTTTTTAAGATAGAGGTAGATTGATTCTGGACAAGCGAGGAGGTGAAGGCTTATTGGGGAAGGAGGGAATGTGGAGCATTGAGATCAGCCATGGTCTTATTGAATTGTTGAATAGAATCGAGTGGCCTACTCCTACTCCCACTCTATATGTTGATCTGTAAACTCAAGAAGATCTTCATTATTCATCTTTGGAGCAACATTCCCAATAAGGTCAGGGGCTGGAATGTTTGAGTTCTTATCACCACTGCCCCTTCGCTGAATCAGCATTCCTGACTTCTAGCCTCTCCATGGCCATATTCCGATCCAGCTGGTAAATTGTTTAATTCTGAAGTCTATTCCACTTGACCGACAGAGGAACATTCGATCACTGCCTGGTGCTACCCTCCCTTCCTAACCTCCACTTAAGTGCCTTGTTAAATTGCTGTAGGTGGCCAAGTTACTGTGTGTTTTGTTGGTTGATGGGTTCAGATAATGCAGCTGATTATACTCTGGTCGTATCCATTCAAATGAGGCAGTATCAGATTTGCTGTCTGGTCACAATGAAATGAAGCTTTGGGCAGAATGGACACAACAGAAAAACAGCACCACCCCGCTGCTCCAATCAACCAATCATTGAAACTGTGACAACAAAATGATGTAATAAATCAGTTTAAATAAAAGGTTTTTAATAAAATTTTTTTACACACCTCTGGCTTGCCTCCAACATTCTATTCTCCATAAAGTTGTGATCATCCAAAACTCTGCAGTCCTTCTCTAAACTGGTACTGAGTCCTGTTCCCATGACGCCTCACTTTCCCATCAACCTGCATTTCATCATGGTCAAGCAATACCTCGATTTTAAAATTCTCATCCTTGTTTTCATTTTCTTTCATGGTCTTGCCCTCTGTCTCTAATCTTATTGCAATCTAGTGTAACCCCTTTAATTGTAGATATGTCTGCTGATACTAATGAATACCAGCTGCACATGCTCGTTGGTTTTTAAACAGGTTTTAAAAGTCAAAAAAAAAATTCTACTTTGATTAAGTTGTTTTTCTATTCATTGATATGCTCTTTAGTTTGTTTTTGGATTTATCACCCGAAATATATTTGAGACATTTTGTTGTTAGTGGTGTCTGCGAGCTCTCCTTTATTTCAATATCATCAGCAGTCCCTCTCAGATGAGGATGTCTCTCTTCCACTCTCAGGGTGAATCAATAGGTGGCTGTACAGACCAATACGGCTACCACAGGCTCTGTTACACTTAGGACAAAAGGTGGTCACAGGAAAGGTGGGTGGGGCATTGATGTGGCAGTGCGCTCCTTTTGCTGTTTTCGCTTGGCTTCAATTTTTTACCATTGGTGAGTCTTGAGATTCTCAATGCCTTCCTAGATGCTGCTGCTCCACTTTGGACAGTCTTGGGCCAGTGATTCTAGGTATCTGTGGGAATGCTGCACTTCACTAGTGAGGCCTTGAGGCTATCACTGAAGCGCTTCCTCTATCCATCTGGGGCTTGCCTGCTGTTTCAGAGCTGGGAGTAGAGCACCTGCTCGGGGAGTCTCATGTCGGTCATGCAGACAGTATGCCCAATCCATCATAGCTGATCAAGGGTGGTCAATGCTGGGGATGTTGGCCTGGTCGGGGATGCTGGTATTGGAGCGTCTTTCTCCTCAACGGATTTGCAGGATCTTGTGCAGACAGCATTGATGGTACTGCTCCAGCACCTTGAGCTGTCTACTGTTGGTAGTCCATGTCTCTGAGCCATGTAGGAGGGTGGGAACCACCAGAACTCTGTCAACCATGATCTTGGTGTCGGATCTTATAGTGCCTTGTGTATCACCGGTTTTGATTCCTCCATCATTAGTGGCCATACCTTCAGTGACCCAGGCCTCCAGTTCTGAAATCCTGTTGTAAACCTCTCAAAGACTGGTGTGGGAAAAGAGGTTTTGCTTTGGGGCACAGGCTTCAGTACTGTGAAAAGGTTAATGGTTCCAGGTGTCTACTAATCAATCTGTATAGAGTTCTTATGACACCCCAAAGCAAGTGGAATGTGAACCATCCTGGCTCAGAGGTGGGAACACTACCAGTACATTACAAGCACCCTAAATTAACATGGGGTTGGGATGTGCCCTATTGAAAGCAAGCTTGCAAATTTTAAAACTTGGTCTTGTGTATAGATATAAACTAAAATTCAGGGTTGAGATATGTAGAAGAGGTCAGGAAAATGGGTGATTTAAATGTTAGGAGAAAAGTTTTTTTCATGTAATATCAGAGTGGAGGAGTAGGCCATTCAGCCCATTGACCCTGTTCTCCCATTCAATGGCTGTGACTTAACTCAATATTCTTTGTTTAACAAAAGATATCCATTTCAGATTTAAAATAGCAGTTGGGGCGAATGGGATCAAAGGTTAGGGGGAGAAAGCAAGATTAGACTACTGAGTTGGATGATCATCCATGATCATGACAAATGGCAGAGCAGGCTTGAAGGGCCGAATGGTCTCCTCTTTCTTCTATGTTTCTATGCCATCACCTTCGGTTTGTGCCATTAGTTTATCTGATCCAGCTACACTGCTGTTTGTGGAAGAGAGTTCCAAACATATACCATCCTTTGTGTGTAGAAGTGCTTCCTAATATCTCTTCTGAACTGCCTGGCCCTACTTCTCAGACAATGCCTCTATTTATAGAATCCCCAACCAGTGGAAATAGTTTATCTGGTGTGTTTTGCCATTAATATCTTGAAGACTTGGATCAGACCACGCCTAGCGTTTTAAATTCCAAGAGAGCAGTAGTGATTTATGGGTGGACAGACTGTGAGAGGAGGGTCAGAAAGTTTAATATTAATAGTGCATTGGTGAATAAGGTCCATGCAAAAAACAGTAGTGAGAAGGCTCAATCTAAATCAACAAGGTATCCATCATGAGCTAGATAAACTAATGGCACAAACCAAAAGTGATGGCATAGAAACATAGAAGAAAGGAGGAAGAGGAGACCATTCGGCCCTTCGAGCCTGCTCTGCCATTTGTGACGATCATGGATGATCATCCAACTCAGTAGTCTAATCTTGCTTTCTCTCCCTAACCTTTGATCCCATTTGCCCCAACTGCTACATCTAGCTGCCTCTTGAATACATTCAATGTTTTGACATCAACTACTTCCTGTGGTAATGAATTCCACAGGCTCACCACTGTTTGGATGAAGGAATGTCTCCTCATCTCCGTCCTAAGTTGTCAACCCCAAATCCTCAGACTCAGGGAACATCGACCCTGTCTAGTCCTGTTAGAATTTTATAAACCTCTGAGATCCCCCCCTCATTCATCTGAATTCCATTGAAAACAATCCTAACCTAGCCAATCTCTCCTTGTATGTCAGTAGCGTCGTTGGATTAGAAATTCAGAGACTTGGGCTTATTCTATATGGTCATGGATTTAAATCCCATGTAAATGGACAATAAAATTTGAATTCAGTTAATAATTTTAGAATTAAAAGCTAGTCTAATGGCATCATCATATGACGACAAATTGGCTCACTAACATCATCGAGGTAAGGAAATCTGCCATGCTCACCTGGTACACTTATAGAGTACAGAAGGGGCCCTTCACCCCATCAAATTTGCATTGACCAGAACTACTCAATTCGCACTCGTCTCCTTTACAGCACTTGGCCCACAGCCTTGAATGTTATGACATTTCAAGTACTCATCTGAGTACTTTTTAAAGGTTGTGAGGTTTCCTGCCTCAACTTCCCTCCCATCGCTCTGTGGGTGAAATAAAATTTTCCTTGAATCCCTTTAAATCTCCTGCCTTTCACTTTTAAAGTTCCTGTCCCCCACCCAGTGTTAGTAACCCTTCAACTCAGGGGAATAGCTGTTTTCTATCCACCCTGTCCATGCCCCTCAATCTTATACACCTCAATCAGGTGCCCCCTTAGCTTTCTCTGCTCCAAAGAAAAAAAAACTCAAACTTATCCAGCCTTGCTTCATAGCTAAAGTGCTCCGTCCCAGGCGACATCCTGGTGAATCTCCTCTGTACCCCACTCCAGTGCAATCGCATCCTATAGTACAGAGACCAGAACTGCACACGATACTCCAGCTGTGGAGTTTTACACAGCTCCAACATAATCTTCCAGCTCACATAATCTATGCCATGACTGATAAAGGGAAGTGTCCCATATGCCTTCTTAACTATTAACCTGTCCTTCTGTCTTCAGGGATCTATTGCAAACACTCTTAAGATCCCTCTGTTACTCTGATCTTCCTAGTGTCCTGCCATTTATTGAGTACTTTCTTAAAAATTTGTAAATGGGATATGGATGTCACTGGCTGGGCCATCATTTATTGTCTAGAGGACAGCTAAAAGTCAACCACATCACTGTGGGTCTAGAGTCAGGCTAGAACATGTAAAGATAGCAGATTTCCTTCTCCAAAGGGCATTAATAGATAGACTTTTGCAACAATGAACAGTGTTTGCAATTAGACTAGTTCTTTGTAAAAAAAAATTACAGATGTTCATTGAATTCAAACATCAACATCTGCCAGTGGTGGGATTTGAACCCATATCCCTCGAACATCAGTCTGGCATTGCTGGATTATTAGGCTAGTGACATTACCATGAAACAGTGTGGACCATCAGCAGAATTGTATTCAACTACAACCTGTAAACTCATTGCCTGGTAAATTCCCCCATTCTACCATTACCATCAAGCCAGGGGATCAAACCTGGTTCAATGGAGAGTGCAGGAGGGCATGCAAGGAGCAGCACCAGGCATCACCTAAAAATGAGGTGTCAACCTGGGGAATTGTAACACAAAAGTAACTGCATGCCAAACAGCAGAAGAGAGGCTAAAACTGATGGATCAGGTCTAAGCTCTGCAGTCCTGCCACATCCAGTCACAAATGGTGTTGGACAATTAAACAACTCACTGGAGGAGGAGGCTTCACAAATATCCCCATCCTCCATGATGGGGAAGCTTATATGCAGCCATTTTCAGCCAGAAATGTCAAGTGGATGATCCATCTCAGCTTTGTCTGAAAGTCCCCAGCATCACAGAGGCTAGAGTTCAGCCTATTTCACTTCCTCCACATGATGTCAAGAATTGGATGAAGCATTGAATACTGAAAAGGCTCTGGAGTCAGACAACATTCTGCTAATAGTACTGTAAAGCTGTGCTCCAGAATACACCATATCTCTACCTAAGGTATTCCAGTTCAGTTACAACATTGGCATCCACCCAGCACTGTGGAAAATTTCTCTGTCCACAAAAAGCAGGACAAATCCAATTTGGCCAATAAATGCTCCATCAGTCTACTCTTGAGCATCACGAAAGTGATGGAAGGTGCTATCAGCAGTGCTAAAAATTGGTATGTAGGTGCAGCAGGCAATTAGAAAAATGAATATTGTTGTTTATTATGATGGAAATTGAATCTATGAGTAGGGACGTTCATTCGTTCAGGACGATAGTTACAAGATAATCATTAAATTCCATCATATTCACAGCCCAAGACACAAAATACTTGATCAAAATCTAAACACTAAATTACATGGTATTAAATTATATTACCTCACACAACGTTCATTGTTTAACCATTCTGAGATTGATCATATGCTACCCATAAATGGTAAGCCAGTTAGAATCCTGTAAAATAAAACAAAGAACTGCAGATACTGGAGATCTCAAACAAACAAAAACAGAAACTCAGCAGGTCTGTGGAGA